TTCCTATATAAATCTAATGAAAGGAATCTCCTATTTTTCTGGATTTAAAGAAGTTACTCCATTTCAGGTAGAGTAATGAATGAGAAGAAGCTGCTAATTTCTTGTTCCCCCGACACAGCCTCCCCATGCATGTCACTCCCTTCTTACACCTCTGCCCAAGGCTTATCATTCATGTAACATTTATTTGAAGTTAATTTATTCTAAACAGAATAAAGTGACATATCTAAAAGAAATAATTTGAAGGCCTCTTTTAACAGTTTTTTCATTTTAATAGATTAACATACAATTTTAATGTAAATAACCTCATTGTTTTTAAAAAGTATTTTTTTTTTTTAAAGATTTATTTATTTAAGAGAGAGAGCCTGCACATCCTGGGCAGAGGGAGGGAGAGAGAGAGAGAGTGTTAAGCACACTCAGTGCTGAGTGAGTGTGGAGCCCCACACGGGCTCCATATCACGACCTTAAGATCACGACTTGAACCGAAAACCAAGAATCGAATGCTTAACAGACTGCACCTCCCAGGGACCTCTTAAAACGTGGTTTTTACTACTTTTCTGGGAGTTGGAGTAGGGTGCTCTGTGCAGTTTATTTCGTGATGTATGCTGGGTTTGCATTTGGATATTGAAACATACATAATTATAGAGTGTTGGGGATGCATGAAATGCTATATTTTGTTTTATTAGAAGGACCATTGCATTTACTTCATCTATTTTTTCTTAGTGTTTGGAAGAAAAGGAAGCACATCTAGAATAGGATTCTTTTTTATCTCTTTTTAAAAAGATCATTAATTTATTTTAAAATTCTACGATTATTGGGACACTGTAGAAATACCAGGAAGTATGAATGAGGTAAAAGGAGACTATGCATCTGTGATCATCTCACCTCTGTTATCACATCTTATGAACACACGCATGTTTTGGCAACGTTTCTAATCACTTATGTTTTGATGATGACTTAGAGGAGATTTCATTTCATTCAGTTAACTCCAGTTCTTCCTTCTAAGGGTATTTGGCTCAAGAGACCTATTTTAATTTCTGTAGTACTACAAGCCTTCTAGGGCTTTTGGACATATATCCTCCTAGTTTCTTGATCACTTAAGTCTTTGTGAGCATCAGATACTATCTGGAGAAGAAGAGAAATTGATCCTGAGGATGAGATTTTCAGAAATTAGTTTATAGGTGAGATGATCTGTCCAACCTAAGCACAACAGTGGGCTGGCATGAGAGGGGTTGCTAGACTTCTTTGGACTCTCTAGTTGATTCTTTTTCCTGTCCAACAAGTGTGTCCTTCAGGGTCTAAATAATAGAGTAATTCTTTGGTACCGATCTCCCGTCATTGATATTACTTACCACTATGCAACTTGAGGGTTTTTAATACCTAGTTGAAAGAGCAGAACTCATTGATACCTTTGGAAATATTTGGTCCATTTTCAAAGGTTGACCTTGTTCTCATATAGTATGAATTGCTATTTGAAGACATATTTTTGACAAGTACTAAAAGTTGATATAAATAAATCTTGTAGGCTAATGAAAAACAGTTGCTTTTAAACTATCTCTGCCTTTTCTCTTTGAAGACCAGTAACAGCTATCACGATTTACCTAAAAATATTAATTATCAGACACAAATATGGTCTTAAGGCCCCATGTAAAGGCTGATAGGTGGTTCTTTTGCAGTTAAAAGCATGTTGCTCTTGCTTTTTAATTTCATCCCTTCACTCTCAACTCTTCACTTTGCTTCTAGCCCCACTCCCTGAGCAAATCAGAGCCAATGAACTGATAAAAGATTCTTCAAGTTCCTTATTTTTTTATCTCCAAATTTCCCTGTAGTATTTTCACCAGTTTTCTTTCTCCCCTGTGTTTAAGTAGAAAGTTGTCCCTCTCTTTCTTTCCAAGTTAATCCAAACAAGCAGCCATGGTTTCCTACCTCCATCATCAGTTATCTACCCCCCAATCTGGATTTCCTTCATGGAGACTCCTTTATTTGAAACATATCTTTGGCACAAGAGTTTGCCATTGGTTATCCTAATATATCTTTCCTCTCCCACCTATCAAGCTTCATGCCCAACTAGTAAGTGTGAGACAACATCCATTGTGATTTTTTACTGAATTTGACACTGTCGATGGCCCCCATTGTTACATATCCCCTTTCTGACTTCCATGACCATCACTTGTCCATTCATCTTATTAATTATGGAGACTATTTGTACATCATTTGATGGCTTATTTATCTCTTTCATATCTCTGCTCTGTTGGTTCTCCCGTCCCTCCCAAAGAGAATATATTACTCTTATCCCTAACAGCATATATTAAGTACCTGATTAGTGCCATCTAAGGAGAATATAAATGTGAATAAAATGGACCTGTGGGTTCTCCCTCACAAAAGTGACTGTGTAGCAGGGACGGCAGACATTAAAGAAATAGCTCGAAAATGGGTGGATTACACTGTGGCGAGTGCTCCAAAGGCTCTCCTCCCCTCCCTACTCCTCCTGTGCTGAGGGCTTTCACTCAGCTGAGGTGACAGTGAGGGACCTGATGCTGTAATTGTGCACAGCACTTACACATGTGAGGGGCAGCCTGTTGAGAGTATTTTAGGTGGCTGGGGGAGCAACAGCAAAGGAAGGAAGTACCCCAGCGTCTTGAGGAAATGTTGAGTAATGCAGGACAATGTGGATCTGGGGTGCATGCGAGTGAGAAGTGGAACTAGAAATTGAGTGGACTGCAGCGGGTTCTGTGTCTGATCTGCTGCTAAGCGTTTTACATACTTCGTCTCCGTTATTCTGACAAAAATCTCAAAAGGAAGGTGGTATCAGCTCATTTATCAGGGGAAGAATCTGAGGCCCAGAGAGGCTCATTAGGTCAGAAGGACTCAAAGGACCATGGAGTCAGCAGATGGCACTACCTGAATTGAGTCACATCTTGCTCTTACCCTGAGCGTGGACTGTTACTGGTACAGGTGGAGCCGTAGTATCTGTGTGTGTGTGACGAGCTCTGCAAACGCTACTTTTATGACCCTGAATCTGTGCTCCTTGAGGACAGGGACCATTCATCCTTGTATTTTCTCAGGCTTCCTAGCATCTTGTCTTCCCCCAAGTAGATATTCTAATAGCAGGTGTTCAGTAACTTTGCTGACATCTTTCCATCACTCGTCACACAAAAGTTTACATTAGAACTATTTGCCAGGTACCTTAACTGAAAAAAATTGCCAGGGCACATGACTGGCACTGCCTGAGGTTGGTTGGTTGGTTGGTTTTTAGATTTTACTTATTTGAGAGGGAAAGAGAGAGAGAGGGAACATACCAGGGTGGGGGGGGGGAGGGCAGAGGGAGAGACAGAAGCAGGCTTCCCGCTGAGCAGGGAGCCTGACGCAGGGCTCCATCCCAGGACCCTGAGATCATGACCTGAGCCGAAGGCAGACGCTTACCCGACTGAGCCACCCAGGTGCCCCCTGCCTAAGTTTTGTACAGTTTTCTCAGTGTCCTCCTGTTCCCTTCCAGGGCTCACATGTACACATCCCACTAGACAAAAAAGAAATATATCAGTAATTGTCTATAATGGCAACAAAAATTGGAGATTAATAAGCTGCTCAGATCATGCAGGTGTGCAACAAAATGTAGGAATCACTACCTGTGTTGACTTTATCCTATGATTAGGTCTTGTCTTTTAAAACCTTGGAGGAGATTTGGATATTCAGAATACAAAGTAACTACAACTTCTAGAAGGGACTTGCTCCTAGCTTTTTTTTTTTTTTTTCTTTTCCCCCTTAAGAGGCAAATTTGAACACCTGAAACGTTACTAATTAATTCTGCACAGGGTAGCAAGTTGGATTGTCAGGGTATACAAATGCATATTTTTGGGAGAGTATAATAAAAAAGGAATCAGTGCAAAGAAAAGTGGTGACCTAAATGCAAGTGTGTGAGAAAGACCCAATGATGGAAAGTGGCAGAAGCTGAGAGAGGAAAACAGGCTCTTACTTCAAGAGTATAAAAGCAAAATGCAACTTTGTGCAGAGTGCAGAGTTTTTGTTTTGTTTTTTAAATAAGTCAAATCAAGCATGGAATTCTCCAAGTCTCAAGGCTTTTGCCCTTTTTTGTAGCCATTATGAACACAGTACAGTTAGTCTTTCCTGGGAGATAGTCTTTGCTCATGCAAGCTCCTTAGAATTAGTTACTGTTAGGAAGGGTAAGTGCCTAACATGGGCAAACATATACAAAAAGCTAAGGAAAGGGGATGTACTGAGGCTTAGAGCTTGGAATTTTACTAAGAAAATGGAAGAGTATAGAATTTGTTTAGCGGTATGTGTGTGTTTTTGTTATGCTGTCACTAAGTATTTTCTTTTCCCTTGTGGGAAAAATAGTGCTTGAATTTACTGTGTCTGTGGAACGGGGTGGAGGTGGTCCAGTAGAGGAAGTTGGTGTATAACATGTTTGCATTTCCAGCTATTTGCCTCACACCTAATGAGACCTGCCCTCTTTATTGTTTTGTCATTTGGCAATAAATATGCATACATCTCACACAGTCATGTTGGAAGCCAATGGAACATTTTTCTCCTCAAAGCACTTGAGGATCCTAGCAAGATCATTTTTTTAAAAATTTAGTATTTAACGATGCCGTATATAGAAAACCAAGCTTGCTAAGAAATAACATTTTCCTTATGGAAGAAGTATGACTAGATAATATGTAATATGATGTGACATTATTACCATGTCAAATTTTAAACAATGAAAAGTTTTCAAGAGTCAAAACTTACTCTGGAGGGTACGCCCACATCAAATGCTTCTATTAAGACTTCAGGTCAGTTGACACTTTTTTTTTTTACTTTGGCAAGTTCCAAACTGGAAAAACAAGGGTGTTGCCAGTGGAGGTTGAGGTGAATTGAAAGGTGGGTGGGTTGCCACCAGCGCAAGCCAGCATGAAGATGCTGTGGTTAGTGCATTTCATGGATGTGAAATGCAACCCCACCCCTGCAGACAAGGGTTTCAAAATGTATTTTCTGCTTTTCAGGATGAATCTTCAAGTCATGAATGTAACCAGCGCACAATCCTTCTTTATGGAGTGGGCAAAGAGCGTGACGAAGCGAGGCATCAGTTGAAGAAGATTACCAAAGATATTTTGAAAATCCTAAATAAGAAGAGCACCACAGAGACGGGGGGTAAAGAACCTCAGTGCATTTGCTCCCATTGTGCTGTCCTTTGCCCTTCCTCTTAGCCCGGTCTTTATCAAAGTCATACATGACACTGTCACCAGAGTGTTTCCTCTCCTGAATGACTGTCATATTGCAATATGAATAAGCATATTGAAATTTTAAGGCCTTGGTTCTATTTATAGTAATCCTTATATTAAAATACCGTGTTCTATAGATAGATATAGGTAATTTTAATTTTCTACTCTTTTGTTTTTATTCTTCCCAAAATTTCTACAGTAGGCATAAAGAAGTACTGAAGAAGGAGTTGGAAAACCCTTAGTCTGGAAAAGTTCCATTTCTTTAATTCTTTACCATCTTTTTTTTTTAAGCTTGTAGTTTGCTCTGTGTACTCACATTTGCACGATAATTGAAAATCATGATAGTGTACTTGCTGATCTTGTCTTACTTTATTCAGAAGAATAATTGTAATAGGTAGTGGTGGCTACCCATAACACCAAATGATTTCGACTAAAAAAGAAAATTGGGTCTTTGTTCTGTAATGCCTTCTTTACTTGGAATAGTCTTTTCCCGTGCTCTTGACATAGATTTTTTACAGTGAAGCTATGCCTTTATATTATGTCACCACATTGCATAATTGGAATTCTTTAATTATCCACTTCACATTTGCCTAATTACTCCTTTTTAAAGATTGTTTATTTTATCAGGCAGTCATAAGATTTAAAATATGATATCATTCTATATACTTCACTACCATTACTGGTGTTTATTTCTTTATTGTGTAAATAACCAAAGAAAAAAAAAGTTTGGATTTTCTCTATGCAAACAGTGTTCTTCCTACACATGGCATAAACCACTCTAGGAACCCTGCTTTGTTGGCCAGTGCAAAATACATATGTTTTTATGAACCTCTTCACAGGGCCTCCAGTCTTTAGTCTTTAACCAGGTGATTTACTTAGAGGTTGCCCACACTAGATCTTTCCGAGACAAAGTACAGAGAGAACTAATACAAATGGCTCTGTGTCCTCTCCATCACTGGGGGAGCACATGCAGAAACAAGGTACAAGGGCAATATGCTTTTGAGTATGAATGTGGTGTTGCAGGTGTCTGATGTCTGAGGCAGCTGTCTTTAGAACATAATGAAAGAATTACTTCAGGTGATTTACAACAGTTCCCTGACTCCTCTCCCTTCCATGGCCACTGAAGGACCTTGTACCACACTGGCGCCATGAGGGAGCAACCAAGAGTTGTGGATGGGAAATGAAACCTTGTTGTTGTTGGCCTGTCATTCTTGAGCTTGGTTTAAAAAAAAAAAACAAAAAACCCCCCAAAACCCAGAAACAAAGAACCCGCTCTAAGAAAAACTGTTGATCCTCTTGTTTTGCTGTTTTTCTCTGTTAGAGAAAAGAGGAAATGGATTGCATGTAGAAGGTTGAATTTAGAAGCGCTATAACTAGCTAGCAAAGAAATTTGAAACTTCTTTTTGTTTACTTGGAATCGGATGGCCACTGTCTTCTTTAGAAGGGTCAGGGAAACATATTTCATCAAAATTAATTTTAGAGAGTCTCTCCCGATCTTATGGAATTTGGGGATTTGGAAGGCTTAGAGGGGTCAGAAAGGGAAGGAAACAGTGCGGTGTCCTTTTTTGTTGAGCCTACTTCCTTCCTTTACAATGAGTATTTAATGCCAGACTTTATACAGTCTATCCTATTTCTATACCAGTCTCTTAAATAGGCAGTTCTTGCTTATGATCTCACAAAGAGAAAATCATTGTTGTTTCATGCTACTTTTTGAGATATTAACAGTGAAACCAGCACTGTGGAGATATATTTGCAATGGGGATTTTTGTCTTCCCCTCATTTTATTTTTTACTTTTTAAAGATTTATTTATTTTGGAGAGAGTGTGCATGAGCAGAGGGAGGGGCAGAGGGAGAGAAACTCAAGCAAACTGCACCCTGAGTGGGAAGCCCACCCAGGGGCTTGATCCCACAACCCCGAGATCATGACCTGAGCCGAAACCAAGAGTCGGATGCTCAGCTGACTGTGTCATCCAGGTGCTCCTGTCTTTCCCTCATTTTAGATAAAATTCCTCCTTCAGAAATATGTTAATTTAGGCTGTCGTGAGCTGTCCTCTGATAAATAGTCAAAGTTTGAGTCACTACTTAAAACCTAGTATGCTCGCCAGAAGCTAGCTAGCTGTACTTCTGATTAATGGTGATTTGCCCACTGTTTCAGCAAAGAGGAGGACTGGTAAGGAAGGGAAACAGAGCTTGTGTTAGTGTGTCTTTGATTTCTGGCTACATATAAAAGTATGGTTTTGAGGAACTCATTAGAAGTGTTCTCACATCAGCTAGGCCTTATGTAGGAGTTCAAATGACACTTCCCAGTTGAGCATGGTCAATCTTCATTTTCCATTTACATTGGCCAGTCATCTTTGGTTGTCACTGTTTTTTTAAACATTAATGAAGTTTACCATGACAATAAAGTCCAAAATTTCCAGGATTTAAAGATTTTTTTTTTAAAGGGAAACCAAAATTAAGCAAGAAAAGAGCAATAAAATGTATTATGAAAGCAAATTAACATAAAACAGATGAGGAAAATCAATGATTACGACTACATTGTTATTTATGTAAATACCATGAAAATAAAATAGTCCATTGAGAACCACCACTAATTCCTTAAATTTTTTTAAAAGTGAATGTCAATTGCCAACACTCCAATTGTATGAGGTTTTAAGAAGTTAGCTACATGTAAGTAAAATAGAGCCTATTTAGCATAAACCAAAAAAAGTGAATTTGTGAATTCTCATGCAGGCTGTACTTCCTCAAATGTGTTATTTTTTGCTTGTTTATTTGTTTTGGCCCCAGGAAGGACTGATTAAATATGTTAACTTCACTTTTACAGCATTTTGTACCCAAGACAATTGATGTGAGTTTTCAGCCTTGGGATCAATGATGTTAGCTCATGAAATATTCAAAACTTGGATATATTAAGCATGCTTATTACATGTGAACAGCTAAAAAGAAGGCAAACGACCACACTTAATTTGAGAATAGATATTGAAAATCAAGTCGGTTGGGGTGCCAGGGTGGCTCAGTTGGTTAAGCGTCTGCCTTTGGCTCAGGTCATGTTCCCAGGGTCCTGGGATCGAGCCCCACGTTGGGCTCCCTGCTCGGCAGGAAGCCTGCTGTCCCTCTCCCGTTCCCCCGCTTGTGTTTCCTCTCTCGCTGTCTGTCAAATAAATAAATGAAATCTTAAAAAAAAAAAAAATCAAGTAGGTTTAATGAACTTCTGAGTTCTTACTCTTTGCATTAGATTTGGTGTTAACACAAGGGGCACAGTCTTGTATCTTCTGTTACTCATCACCTCTGAATTCTATGTACTCTCCTATCCAGGTTTGTTTGCTTTAGGAAATACAACACCCTGGTGTGTGCACACCTACACCTATAAACTACACTTGCTTGTATTTGAAAGAAAATCTCTTCTAATGTTATTTTCTAAAACCATTACGTTTGCCTTCAGCAAGATCTTTTTGCATTCAGTGAAATATTTGTGTCTTTAATAGAAAAAAAAAAAATCTGTAAAGTGACCTTTGTTCTCTGAAAGTAAACTTTCCCAAATAGGACATGAGTGATGAAGCTCCTGTCTGTCTCAGTAGCCTTAGACTACTTAGAATCAGAGCGTTAGAAATGATCTTACAGATCATGTAATCCGACCTTTCTGGGTTTTTTTAGATTTGTCTTTATAAATGCATATATTTAAAGATATTTAAGACCGGATCTGATTCTTTTTGAATTGTTGAGAAGAACAAGAATCCTCCGGGGAGAAGTAGTGTTTATAATATTTTTTTTCTGGAATTTTCTTTAAACTTCTTTATGCTAAATTGATAAATGTGGCACTTTCCCATTATGTGGAGCGATTTAATCCTTGCTACCCCTAAAAAACTTTAAAATTGGGTAAACTTCCTTTTTTACATATTAAACTGTTTGGGAGAAATATCATGGTGAATGTCCTAACAAGATGCCAGTGAAGTTTCTATTCTGTCAGTGTGACCCTGGGTGATTTTTTTTTTCCCCTTTCATTTTTATCATTGTATTTTAAGAGCTAGTGAGAAATGTTTATAGAGGTACTTCCCATTAATAGTCAAAATCTGGAAACTGCTCACTAGAATGAATAAATACATGGTGGTATATCACACGTTAGTATACTATCCATGAATGGGAATTACTTAATTTTAGAACAAGTTAAAATTGCCTCAACAGTGTGGATCAATTCTCAGAAGCATATAGTTGAGTGAAAGCTGCCGGATGTGAAAAGTATCTCTCCTTGTTTCCAAAGTGGGCAATACTCATCCAAGCCTTTAGAGGTCAGGATCTTGATTCCCTGGGGCAGAGAGGTGACTAGAAGGAGCCCGAGGGGGTATCTAGTTTTCTGGTATGTGATTTTGTGATTTGAGTCTCATTACTTGACTTGACTTTGTAGAAATTCATAGTTTGTGCACTTCTCCATATATGTTATAGTTCAATAGAAAGTATCCCCTGAAAAAGTCAAGAGCTTCCATTAAATGGAAAGTAATGTATCCACTGTCTATTTAGTTGGAGATGAAGGACCAAAAGCCAGGAAGAACAAACAGGAAGCATTTCCGACACTAGAGACTGTATTCACAAAACTTCAGCTCCTTTCGTATTTCGATCAGCATCAAGTGACGTCTCAGGTAGCTGTTTAAAGCTATGTGTTATGCATTTGGGATATTCATATTTACTTCAAAATTTCTTTCATGCAGTATATGTTTTTGGCCTTATTTGGTTGTATAGGTATGTTTTTAAAACATATTTGGAAATTTGGAATCATCTCAAACTATTGAGTAGTTCAGTTTGAAGCATCAGGTTGCCTTCTTCAGAGAAATTAATTTTTATCACTCATACTTTTGCCTTATGATAATAGTCAACACTGTGTCAGATAGTCCCTAATGCAATAGTTACGTTATTACATTTTGGTCCTACATTGCTATGGGAAGGGAGAAATCTGTTGATGACTACAATAAAATACTATCTAAATGAGCAAAAACCAGATCTGTGTTGTTTTACAAATCCACTGATTCTCAGATAGATGTTATCTGGAAATTAATTAGCATTTGTAGTTCTACCATTAAGATAGGTTAAGATCTTAATGACCACTTGGCTTATTTCTTCAAATTATAGTTGTAGTAAGAAAGTTGTTGGATTTGTATATAGTTTTGGTTTCTTTGGAAATATGTTTTAACTTTTTTTCTAAGTAGAGTATATAAATTCAAATTTCTTAAAAAATTAAAATAATTTTGAATATTGATTTTACAGTTGTTTTCAGTTTTTTTTGTTTTTGGTTGCCCAGATCTCTAACAATGTGCTGGAACAAATCACAAGCTTTGCTTCAGGAACATCCTATCATCTCCCTTTGGCTCACCATATTCAGCTTATCTTTGATCTTATGGAGCCAGCGCTAAACATCAATGGACTAATTGACTTCGCAATACAGGTGTCAAAGAGACCTTGCTTCTCTCAATTTTAGGAAAGCAAACCTGCTGGGCATCATATAATTTAAAATGAGCAACCCAGTGCATTTTTGAATAATAGAGACATTCTGAATCAATAGTATTCAAGTAGTATTTTAATTGTAGCCATGTTCATAATCTTCAATTAAATAATTAAAATTGTGCAAAAATATATAATAGTTATTTAAAAATGTGAGGGTTTTGAGGATTTATTTTTGTCTTTTGTTCTAAGAAAAGGTGAAAGTTTATTTATTGTAGAGTATATTTTAGGTTAAGAGCAAAAAATAAAACCTTATAATTTGATTTGTCCCATTAAATGTCTTATAAACAGACTTGAGTTCATTTATTATCTTGCTTTTAGTGAATAGAAATAAAACTCATTTTCTATTTCTTATTGGAGGTGTTTTGTTAATAACAAGAAAATAATGATAAATAACTTCTGTTTTCTTGAAAAGAAAGGAAAAGAAAGGAAAACGTGAGAAGTGGGGATATTCTCTGAAATCATCTGGTCTAGAACTTTGGGCTGCCATCAAGTTTTGGTAGCTGTTTCAGTGTTGGATACTTTCTGATTGTATGTATCATGATGTCTAGACAGAGGCAAAACTGTAGAATTTGGTAAAGGATTAAAAATAAAAACCAGTTTAATTCGTTGGGGCTTGTTTTCTCACACTGTAGTTGTATATGCATATGGTCCTGGGACAGATAATGGGTGAGATCAAATGGTATTGGAATGACTCAGTGTATCTGTGGCTTGTGAAAATAAATGTTTTTCCTCTTCCTTTTGGCAGCTACATTTTTATTCAATCTTTTCTTCCATTGTAGCTGCTAAATGAACTGAGTGTTGTGGAAGCCGAACTGCTCCTGAAATCCTCCAGCCTGGCAGGAAGTTATACAACGGGACTCTGTGTGTGCATCGTGGCTGTTCTCAGGCGGTACCATAGCTGTCTCATCCTCAATCCTGATCAGACAGCCCAGGTGTTTGAAGGGTTGGTATATAAAATATCATGACTGTTTTTCACATGTTGTCTATGTATAATTTGTGATGGAATGTCATAATGGTTTTAAGAGGAAAAACAGGACAGGTGTTTGTTTCAATTTGAAAGATAGAATTAAAGACTACTTTTGCCGGAAAACATTTATCAGAGAAGAAGATGTAAGCAGGAAAAGTGTGTTCTCTAAATAGAGGGGCCTTCCTTGCCTGCCCCTAATTTCTATGAGCATAAGCCCATCATTTACAACACTGTATCATTTGCTACCCTGAACCATGGCTTATGATGAATGATGAATATGTCACAGCTGCTTCATTGATGTAATTCCAGTTTATAGTCAAGACGAAATGAGCTTTGCACACATTGTTATTTTCCTATTTGCTTCTTCAATTTCGTTTCTTTTAGGAACTAAATACGTCTTGACAAAAGTTAATCTAGAACAAATGACTTTCTTGTGTCTTAGTCTGTTTTTTGGTTTGTTTGAACTGTAGGGTGAAGTTTTCTTTGCTGTCACTCATGAAGTTGGACCAAGTCCTACATCATCCCCATTAGAGGCTGAGGTTACAGGGCCGAGAGAAATGTAGTGACAGAACACCTGTATGGAGCTCCTTTTTGTCTACTGCAGACTTCTTTCTCTAGGGCTTTATATATATTAAAACAAAAACAAAAACAACACCTCTTTTTCTGAAATTTTCCTTCCTGGATTTAAAAGAAACATGGGGTTCTGTGGTTCCACAATACTTTTTTTCTGTAATCTAGCGCATGCAATCAATTTATCATCTATTCTGGGGTGCCATCCATTTAGCAGAAGCTTTTTGGGGGAAAAGGAAATGCTACCACATTAATAGCACACACAAACTATTAAATGAAATCTTAAACATTCCAGATTATTTTTAAAAGGTTGAAAATATTTTAGAATTCAGGAAATATAGGACCACCTAATAGCCCTCAACTACCCTATAAAATTGCATAATTAGTACCATTTACAAATCATGAAACTGAGACTCAGGCCTTTTAAATGAAGTGTTTGTTGAAGTGATCTACTTAACATTGCATAGCTAATAAATCTCCCATATTGCTAAAAGTCATTCTACGTAAGAGCACATTCATGCACCTTGATTTATACCGTGCTTTCTAAACTGTGTTTGGAAACCCATCAGTTAGTCATAAAGTGAATATTACAGGTTTTGACAAATTTTTTTTTGTTATTTTGAAATTTATTTTAGTATCATTTATTTTGACATTTTAAATGTATTATCTATTAAGTGTTCATAAAATCATATTTGATATTATATTTTTATTTTGTACTGAATGCATATACTGGATCTCAGTGTAAAATGTTTTTCTTATCTCTAACAAGTGAAAAAAAATCAAGGAAATACTGCTATGGTATGGATGCCTACCAAGTTCTCAGTAAATGTTTGTTTACTTTAATCACAACATAATTCCTTGCTTTTTAGAGTATGTGTGGAGTTTTTAAATTAGTATATTTAACAGATCGAATCCTCTACTTTGCTTCTTAATTGCAGGATACTTTTACTGTAACTGACAGCTTTTACCAGCTGTCTGGTGGCTCTGTCTGCTGATACCATTTCACAGGGCTTGGGATGCAACATTGTCATTTCTTTATTGTCTTGTCATTTCCACCTCTGGTATTTGTGATTGTAGTGTCCTTCTTGGCCTTGACAGCCTAGGCCCTCCCTGGTTTCCCCGACCCCCTTAATAATGGAGAGAGCTGAGGATTGGGAGTCGGGAGACCTCAGCTCTCCTCTTGGATGTGCTATTAATTAGCTTTTTGCCTTTGGGCAAGTTATTTCACCTGTCCTTGAGCCTCAGCTCTGTTTTTTTTAAATGGGGAAAGTGAATCAGATGATTTTAAAAGCCCTTTTCAGCTTTAATAATCTGAGTCATCGATGACACTATTGTGATATTACTGAACCCTATAACAGAATACAAGATGGCAATAGTGGAATCAGAGTTACAAATAGGTGGATGGAGCACCAGTGTTTTCTTGTGTGTTATATGAAGCTTTTCGTTGAGTGAACTGTGGCCAAAGGGACCATCCTTCCATTATGGGGAAAAGGGCACATAAATGGAACAGTAACAGTACTTCTTTTTTGAAAGACTTCTAGAGAATGTCATTAAAAAAAGGCGGGGGGGTTAATTTCTTACATAAGGTAAAGTAAAATTTGTGTCTGGTTTGGATAAACAAGGAGAATATGACCTCAAATCATGAATTCATCAAGTTTTTGCCAGGACCAGCTCATGGTCCTGAAAATGAATTTCCCAGATTTACTGATTTAGAGACTTGCTCTTTTCCAAAGGAGTGGACTTAAGAATCTTTGCAAATGGCCTGAATTTATGAATCTTTTTACTGAAGAGAGATTCTCTACGACAGAGTTCCTCGTGTTCTAGTCACAGTAAATTCATTGATGGATTCTCCATATGTACCTTCTGTATTCATTTCTTGTTGTTAATGGTATTACCCAAGTCTTTTTAAAAATCATCTAGTTTTTCAATATCCTAATAGAAAAATGATATTTTATGCAATTATGTACTATTGCTATAATCATTAGTATCAAAAACCTGATACCTTTTTTCTTATCCAAGTAATACACCCACATAGTCTCACTCTAAAGGATTCAAATAATAAGATATATATTAGCAAAATATGCATGTCATTTCTTCACGAATTTTTCCCCCTTAGGTTATGTGGTGTGGTAAAGCATGTTGTGAACCCCTCAGAATGTTCCTCCCCCGAGAGATGCATCTTAGCCTACCTCTACGATCTCTATGTGTCATGTAGCCACCTCAGAAGTAAATTTGGAGACCTCTTCAGGTGGGTAGAAGAAAATCAACAGGAATAGGATTATGCCTATATTTGGTAGTGACCCAACTGATATTGTCATACTTTTTAATAATGAAAATTAATCATAATTATATCTGCCAGAATTCATATTGAATTGTTTTTCATTGTCACTTTGACCTCCTATTACCAGTTACTCTGCATGTTTAGCTATGATGGCAATTCTGAGATAAACTTGAAAGGAAATATTCTGTACTTTGCACTTGCTAGTACCTCACTTGAAACATTGTTTCACTGCTGTTTGAATGCTTACTTTCTCACTGCCTTTGCTTCTCTGCTTCCTTGACCATCCTATTTCAGATGGTGTCCCTGATTGGATGTCATTCTCTGCATCTTAGCACTTGCTATTACTACCCAAGTACACAGGTGCTAGAAAACACATACTTACTTAATGTTATTTTGAGGAAATTTCGATTATTAATTGTAGGTGGGGTTATGAAAGGGACGATAATAGCTGCATATTAAATTTGTCATCTAGAAGGAGCTAAGGAAAGAATTAGGGTTCTTTGTTCTTAAATTCCGTGAGCTTTGTCATCCAGGTTTGTGTAGATGTGACTGCTCATCATTGCTTTGTCACCACCACCATCTCTTGGTTAGACCATTGCAGAGTCCTGACTGATTTCTCTGCTCGCACCCCTGACTCTCTTTAGCATATTGTCAGCATACCTACTAAAGTCATCCTTTAAAACAAGAATAACTTGAAGGTTTCTAGTGGCTTCTTATCTACACAGAATAAAATTCAAAGTCCTAACCTGCCTTCAGGATCCACTGAATGCAGTCTACTCTTTTCCCTCTTCCCCACTGTGTACGCCATGCTAACCACATGGACCTCCTTACTGGTCTTCACACACTCTAAGCACACTCCCATCTTGGGACTTTGGCACTTGCTGCTCCCATTCATGTAATGCTTCCCTTCTCTTACTAACATGTTCATCCCCACAGTACATTTATGGTCTACCTACCTGCCCATCCTGTTTTCAATAGCAGCCTCTTCCCCCTACTCTCTGTCATTCTCTGAACCTTAGCACTTGCCACCACTGGGTGAATTATATATGTATTTATGGTCTGGCTTCCTCCTAGAATGTAAGCTTCGTGAAAGGAGGAACTTTTATTTTCTTCACTGGCATATCCTGGTACCTTGAAGAACGTTTGGCTCCTAGCAGGCACTGCAAAAAACCTGCTGAATGAAAGCTTCATCTGGCGGGGGAAAAAAAATCATGATATTTTCAATGGTATCAATAGGGGAAGAAAACGGGAGAGTATGTCATGAAATGAGCTAGGTTTCCCAGTAATCCCTTGTAGAACATTCGAGTGGGTCTTAGGAAACATCTTTCCACAGAAATGATGTAATAATACCATACATTCTTACTTTACAGACAGCTTTCATTTTCAGTTTACGGTTTTCAGAGAGCTTTCTCATACATGATTTGGTTCTTGAAACCAAATAGTGAACTTCCGGAGAAAGCCCCAATAGCCTGTTTGACCCCTAGTGCTCCCGCCGGGTAGTGCAAGTGTGTTCAGTAAGTGAATTCAAGTAATGTGCCCCGGGGCGTGTGGAGGCTTAGGAGACCAACAGTGAGCTGAGGGGTCCGTAAGGTGTCACATCATAGGGAGGGGCCCTGGCTCACGCTTGCTCAATTAAAGATCTGGCAGACCAGCACAGCTCTCTGGAAACCCTGAAGTCAGGCATTATTTGTTGATCGGGATTAAGAACAGTCAAGGGCGCCTGCGTGGCTCAGTTGGTTAAGCGACTGCCTTCAGCTCAGGTCATGATCCTAGGGTCCTGGGATTGAGTCCCGCATTGGGCTCCCTGCTCTGCGGGGAGCCTGCTTCTCCCTCTCCCACTCCCCTTGCTTGTGTTCCCTCTCTCGCTGTGTCTCTGTCAAATAAATAAATAAAAAATCTTAAAAAAAAAACAAACAGTCAAACAAAAGCTAGCGACTCAGAGAGATTTCTATTATGCTAATAAGACAGTTCTAATAACTAGATCTGAAAGAGCATCTCTAAAGTTGTGTGAGAGGACTGTTGGGGGGAAATACATCTTGCACTGATTGGGCGGCAGCTGTGTGCCAGGCACTGTGCTGGGTTCTTTCCATCAAGATTTTTAATCCTCCCCACAACCTTAGGAAGTAGAAATGACTGTTCCTAGCAAGAAGTGATTGTTCCTCATCATAATCTAATAAATGGTGAAGCCTAGATTTGCACATAAGTCATTTTGGCCTAAAAGCATGTGTTGCTTTTATTACTCTGTCAGGTTTTTTCAGGTACAGGCAATTTCAGACACAAAATGTCTCAGTTGTTTCCTTAATTCCATATATGTCTGCAGCAGAGAGTGGTCAGAATTTGAGAGTGACCTAGAAAGCAGCCAATGTTTTATTAAAGCATGGAAGGGCTCGTCTGGAAAGAGTGTAATAAATGAAATAGGAAGCCTAGAAATGAAGAGTAAGGAGACTTCACCACGAGGCACAGATTTCAGAAAAATTATGCAATGCAGTCTGGAGGTAGCCGAGAGTCAACTCAAGAGAAGTCTCTAGACTGAAAGAAAAGTGGGCGCTGACTCTTAAAAAAATTAAAGAGAGGAAAGCAGAATTCTTTTGGTTTCTAAGACAGACACGAATAGATTGGTAGAATTAAGTAGGAAAAGAGGTAATGCTTTACTATTTGCCAAAGTCCGTTTCAATAAAATGACACTCAGTGTATAGAGAGGTGGAGGGAACCAGCAAAAGAACAAAGCTGGTTTTTGTTTCATTTTTTACTGAGAAAGTGAAACACATTAAGAACTATTACTAAGTGAGAATGAATGAAAAGTTGAGTAGAAAGGTTGACAAGGGTTAAGGCAGGAAAACGGGAGACGTTTAAAAGTCCTCAGGGCTGTGAAATGTTCATCCTTTTGAACTGGTCATCCAGATTGCACGCTTGCACCCTTCAGGGACAGCCGACACCTTTTTATATAAGGTGTCTGCTGAGAAAGAACGGAGAAGGCTGTAGTTACTGTCATTTAGTGGGTTTCTTTAGTCCTGTCTGCCAGACCAGTATTTCCTAGACTGTTACGAAGTTGGAATGAAAACTTCCTATTGGGACTCTTCTTTAGGAATACATTAGAGTTATGTATTTCCATAGAGTTGCTGCCATTGAACCTGTCCTTAAAGGAAATAGCCTTCTAGTTATTCTAGTTTTGTTTTTTTTTTTTTTTTTTAACTTTTCTCCTTGTAACCTCAGTAGTGCCTGTTCAAAAGTTAAGCAAACCATATATAATAATGTGATGCCTGCAAATTCTAACTTGCGATGGGATCCAGACTTCATGATGGATTTTATTGAGAATCCTTCAGCTCGTAGCATCAATTACTCAATGCTGGGCAAGATCCTTAGTGACAATGCGGCCAATCGCTACAGCTTCGTCTGTAATACGCTCATGAATGTATGTATGGGCCACCAGGATGCTGGAAGGTGAGCTGGGTTACCCTGGAATTCACTTCGAACAACCTAGTCATTGCCTTGGTGTTACTTTTAAACTAATGTCATTAGTAATTGCCTGGGCTGACGTTTGGATGTTGTTTGCTTTTTGTTCCCCCCATTTATTCCTGAATTGATCTCTGCTTTATACAGTGATTTCCTTAGCCTGACAGGCTATCCTGGCTGAATGCTCTGGCATGAGATGCTTTAGATATAAACTATAGGTTGTCTGTCCACTTAAAAAAAAAAAATAAAAACCCAAATGAAAATGACCTATATCAGAGGCACCTGGGTGGCTCAGTGGGCTTGGCCTCTGACTTGATTTCAGCTCAGGTCATGATCTCAGGGTCGTGGGATCGAGCCCTGCATCGGGTCCGTGCTCAGCGTTGAGCCTGCTTAAGAATCTCTCCCTCCCTCTCGCTCTGCCCCTCCCCCTGCTTCTGCTCACTCTTTCTTTCTAAATAAATAAATGAAATCTAAAAAAAAAACAAAAACCTATTTTAAAACAGTTTTTTGACCTACCTAAATTACACCGTGTCTTTAATTTTTTTGATGCCCCTAAAAATGTAAGTTTGTAAGGTTTGTTCTCAGAACAAAAATACGTTAATTGGCATCTGTACTGATTTTTCTCAGCAACATTAAATGTTTGAAACCACTTACTTTTATCTTTGGTTCCAGGTTCTACTAGGTTATTTAACAAGTGGGTATTTAGTAAATCCTTGTGTTTTCGAAGTGAATGACTTGTTTGATGGTAGTGAGGTATGTGCTCATTAAGTATATTACATGTGCCTGTTTCTCTCCTGTTACTTTCTACTATGTTCTTTTTCCTCTTCCCAGGATTAACGACATTGCCAATTTCTCCTCGGAGCTGACAGCTTGCTGCACTGTTCTTAGTTCAGAATGGCTGGGAGTTCTGAAGGCTCTTTGTTGTTCTTCAAATCATGTGTGGGGGTTTAATGATGTACTTTGCACTGTAGATGTAAGTTTCCTTTTTTGCTTAAAAACTCATCTGTGCAATGAAATATTTAGTTAGTAATTCTTTTTAATCGACTTAACCCTTACCTGAAATATAAAATATTTTCCTTTCTCTGCCCAAAAGCAATAAAGGAGAATGCGGTTGTCAAGGATTACATAAATGAAAAAAAAAAAAAAAAATTGGAATAAATACAATAGCTTAATCTACAGCAGAGATGCCAAGAGTTTCCCTCTTTTTAGCTGAGATTTCTTATATAATATGTTCTCTTCAGAGCTGTCGGTTCATATTGTTTACCCAAGTGCCTTGGACTCCTCATGGTATAAGACATAATTTGCCTAAAGCAGTTTACATTTACATTTTGAAGAGAACCACTTTGTTTTGTAAGGCTCAAGGCGCCTTCTAGGAACATAGCTTTCACTGTGTTGCTTAAGAATGTCCAGGCCCAGATTCATTGACATGTTCAGTCTTTCTTAGTGATTGTGTCTGGAAGTTGATGAAGAGATACCTGGTATATATCACCGATTTCCTTCGCATGTCCTGTAGCATCCATGATGTGTAAAGTTTTTAAAAAATCTGTCATGAGTCTCTGTTTTTCCTATCACTTCTTGGAGTGATCATGTTATATGTTGGTGTGTCTTCTGTGTAGAAGACATTTATATATTTTTACAAACCTCCTTCTGCCTTCCACTTAGAGGTTTACTTTCTAGTTCTGGTATCTCAGGTAACTCATACCTGTTACCCGCTTTTCCAGACAGAAGAAATCCCAATTTTTATCTTTAACATAATTCCTTAACCTCTTGGTTGTTTTCTGTTATACTTTATCTCCGCTTTGTTCCTTCACCTGCAAAATCAGGATTAATAATAGTATGAGGCTCATGGTGGTATGCTATTAAATGAGGTGATTTTTGTAAATCACTAACCATAGTTATTGACATATAATACAACTCAATATGAAGTCTGCTGTTATGATGGTTTTTGTTATTGTTCTCTTCCAAAGTCTTGTTTGGTCTGTGTAGGTAGAGGTTTTATCCTGAATGAATTGATTTTCCTTCTCTTCTTTTTTTCACAATCTCTCTCTCCTCTCTCTCTTTCACTCTCTTTCAAGTTTAGGAGTCAGTTGGAAATTTTCAAAGTTGTTTTTAAAACTAATTATGTTATAGGATCATTCATATTTATCCCTGAAAAGAACTCTAAAACATTAATAAGGCTTAGAACTTCCTTGTTTTTCCTTTGCTCCCTAATGATCTTACCCTTAAATAACAGATGATGTTGTATTCTGTCAAAAAGTTTTATTTATGCTACATCTTTTAGGAATTTCTTTATTTTGTTTTTGTTTTGTTCAATAACATGGACTCTAGGTAAAACTCAGTATCTCCCGATAGCATTGGGATGTAGGTAAACCTCATTTTTCGTCTTATAAAGTAGAAATAGTCCTTAGAAGATAATAAGTCTGACGTGTTACCATTTCACTCTGTTGGGTCATTTTGGGATTTGAGATCTTACTGGTGTTGCCTACATTCTCTTAGATATTAAGCTTAGATATTACCTGAAAGGGTGTTAGGTATTAAAACATGTCAATGTTTTTCTTGAAGGTGAGTGACCTTTCATTCCATGATTCATTAGCTACTTTCATTGCTATTCTGATAGCACGACAGTGTTTCTCCCTGGAGGACGTCGTGCAGCACGTCGCACTTCCCTCGCTCCTGGCAGCAGGTACGGCACGTCCAGAGTGGCCCTTGTTACTTGATGGCTGTCTTGGGGTGGTTTCTAGCTATTACAACACAGTAAACATACTATTAAAGCGTCCCCGCGTTGGGCCGTGGTGTGGTGTTGAGGTAAAGATTGTAGAATTGTCAGTGATGTTCTACACAAAATCAAATGGATCCCTATGGAAAAGGTTGTTTTTAAGGAAGCCCTCTGGTTTCCTGAAAAAGCATAGCTTAGTGCCTTACCTCTTACTGTAAGGAGCATTTGTATTTAAATTATTCCAGAAAAGTTAGCTTAATAGAAAACCTGAAGACATGTCCTTGAATAAATTAGCAAACGTGCTTTTAAAATCTTTCCTAGCTTGTGGAGATGCAGATGCTGAGCCGGGGGCGAGGATGACATGCCGACTTCTGCTTCATCTCTTCCGAGCTCCCCAGGCCTGCTTATTACCTCAAGCAACCGGTGAGCTGAAAGCTGAAAAACCCCTGGTGACATTTTCGTCTGGAGGTATAGATGCTAAAATGACCAAGTAGGCTGTCCGTTCTGTCATTTCCTTCCTGATACTGGTGAGCTTGCTGTGCAGGTGAGGAGCGAGTGTAGTAATGCCCTTGAGAGCGCTCTCAGCACCTTTTATTTATGCAATATCAGGATGGATTGAGAAACTCAAATCAGGAGTTAATAAACCATGGAAATACTTTTGCTCTTAGGCCAAGCCCTGCTGGTGGGCGGCTTGATCCTCTCACATACTATGTATGTTTGTTATGAGCCATATCATAGCAGCTTAGGGCAATGATGATTCATTTATTCTTTTACTAAGGTAAAAGGAATAAGGTAAGAATTCTAGGGGTGTGATTGAAGTGTGTTTCTAAGAATCATTTCCATACAAGGGTGTGTGTGTGTGTGTGTGTGTGTGTGAGACAATCAGCATATGTAGATGAAAGTTCCTGTTTTTTTGGTACATCTCCTTAAGGAGCAAAGACATTGTTTTAATAATTAAAAAGAAAAGGTTAAGAAAGGAATACTGACGGTGTTTCTTAGTGAATCCATGAAGCATCGATTAAAGCTAACTGATGGCAGTTAAGGACCCACAGTCTAACAGTGAAAGACTGCTGATTGTAAATGGTTAGAAGAGATTGTTAATGGTGGTAATGAGACCATTTGCTGTTGTTCTCATAGGCAAACCTTTCCCTGGAATAAGATCATCTTGTGATAGACACCTCTTAGCCGCTGCTCACAACAGCATTGAAGTGGGAGCCGTGTTTGCTGTCTTAAAAGCAATTATGATGCTTGGTAAGATTATCCTGGCACTAAACTTGGTTATTCACCAGAAACAGAGGAAAAATAATTTGTATTTAGGTTCAACTGTAATTCATATTACTAGAAACATGGTTTGGTTTGGTTTGGTTTTCCTGGCAAAATTAGTTGGCTTTCTCCAAGTCCAAGATCAGTTGGACTTGAGATGTCTGCTCCTTACCTACAAATTCTGGGGGAATTTAAATATAATAGGTTTTTGTTTTTGTTGGTTTTTTTTTTGTTTTTTTGGGGGGTTTTTTTTGATGGCATTTTAACTACAGGATATTTCATTTTGATATAACACAGATTCTCAGACCCACAGGGTGGTTTTGTTTTTATTTGTTGGCATAAATCACACTTTGTGATGGACACAGATGACATGGTGATCTAACCAAAAGTTTAAATTTCATGTCATATATTAGGAGCAGGACATCAGAAAACCTGGGTTTTAACCTTAGTGTTTCTACTTCAGTTGTGACCCTTAACAAGCATATAAACTTCTGCCTTGGGGTTTTCATGAATCAGGTAATAATTGCAATGATGTTGATATTATTGATAAATCAATATTAGATATCAGAATTTTTAAAATTTAATCCATAATGTCCAAGATGTCCTTTATACTCCTATTGGCATATGTACTCCTGGAGTAGTAGTACTGCATTTTCTATTCATTGATAGTGTAATGCTTTAAGACATTTTGATTCTATAAATTGGTCAGGATTTGAATGAGTAGGAGGTCTTGAGTCCACACTGCCTAATTCCAACTGTGGGAACCCTCTTTTGGCCTTGACTAAATAAAAGTTCTCTCATGTTCTGAAGGAGCTCTCTTTGATTAGAATAGAAACTATTGAGTAGATAGGAAATGTTTTAGAGGAGTCTTAAAGAACATGATACTTTATATACCTGTTTGAATGTTATTTGGTGACAATAAAGGATAACAGGATTTTCACTAAAAAAATTATTAAAAGTTCACCTTAAGAAAAGAATATATACACACACACATACATATATTTACATGTGGTTTCTAATTTTTGCAGTAGTTTAAGATTAAAGGCTGGAGAAAACATATGTATACATTTATATATTATATCAAAGGGATGCCCTTGGAAATGCCCATGAGTTTATAGTAAAAGGGAAAGGTAGAGCCATGTGGATGGTCATAGCCTCTCTTCTGAGCTTAGGAGCTTGTATTATTATACCACCAACATTAAATGCTCATTTCAGTAAATAAAATTTCTCTTCTCTGATGATGTTTGAAAAGAAAATGGCTGGTCAATCTACTTAAATAAATGTAGAGATCATGAAGTCAGAGACTTGCTTTTTTTTTTTTTTAAACTGTGGTATCTCTAATGCCCATCAGAAAAACTAGAAAGTAGGTTTTGAAATAGTAGCTATTCAACAAACTAATGTTTGAATTGTGACTACAGAAGGGGATAGACATTTAATGGCAAAAAGCAAGATGAGTGCCATCTAGACACTTACCCCTTCATTTGGAGGACTGTTCCAGTTCCAACTAAAATTTGCCAGCCTCTTTAAAGAGTCACATAATTGTATTTTAATATCCATGTGTAATAACCAGTTCATTTATCTTTGGTTGGCTTTCCTCGATCTTTGTAATTCACGTCAGTTCTTGGTAGATAGAGAATGCTTCAAGTCTGAGAAGTCAGGATCGGGTCATTTGGATGTCAGCAGAGCTTTGGACTGGGTAGTCACTGAGCACTCTTTTCTACAGTTACAGAAGGTTCTGGCACAGTCTCCTGTACCTTCTCTGTCATCCTAACATCTAAACTAAATGAGAATCTGAGGATTTCCTAGGCAGAGGTGTTTGTTTCTCTGATTTTGTTTTTACGGAAGTTTTAATTTCTCTACCTTACCCTGTCCTTACCAATGTTCTCTCAAGTCCTGTCCACCAGGATCTGTTTTGAGTTTGGGAGCTAAAACTGTTCTTTAGAAATTGGTTTTTAATTTATGTAGTAGTTTTACCTTAAGGTGTAGAAATAGTTCTTTATATCCCCAGAGGTGGGAGAAAGTATGCTAAATTTTGGTACATATCTCTCAGCTCCCAAGGAGCTCTGTTGAATTAAATGAACTCTTGTGAGTGAAGTGAAATTGGCACTTTTTCTATTGTGTGTTTTAATGAGGAATTTATGATATTATAAGATATTGATGATTTGAAAAGCATTGTTTATTCCTCCCCTCCTCTTATAATTTTATAAATAAATATTCACTAAGCCATTCTGATTTTTCAAATTTTTCAAAACCTTTTCTTGGTTGACCTGTGGGTTTTAAAAGGCTTTTTTCACTGATATGGGCTTAGTTTTACTCATAGTGGGTAGTGAGGGGCCTCATTTAAACTCATTTGTTGGTTCCAAGAAATTTTCTTGTTCAAGGCTTATAAACCTGTGGGTAAACAGGCAAAAGTTTAGAGGCTCTGTTGTCATTTGGTAGTCTTTATTATCAATTCTCTCACTTTAAAATATGATAGTGATTTGTCTTTCACAGCTAGAGAGGATTTCTTATTTCCAACTATTCAGACATTCTGCTCCATTTTGTCCCCAAGAACTTGATTATGAGGGAAACCCTTTCCTTAGTTTCATTTGACTCACTATATTAGAGGTTGATCTGGTGAGGTTTTCTAATTTGGATGTTTACAGAGAGGAAAGTGAGAGACTTGGGTTATTCAATGAGTGCCCTATGTTTTAGGGCTTCCTTAGTATGCATTGCCCTTTTCCATTCCCAGGGAAATAAATCTCTCTTGTCAAGAAGTTGATAGTAAGGTGGGCTAAGGCAAAACTTTTCTCTTGACCTATGGATAGAAAATAAGTCATTGTAAGAGAAGAAATGGAAAAGGGACATCTAGAAGGGTGAGTAACCCATTTTTTCCTTGTCTATAAGTGAAATGAATTTGAATATTGAATACATTTGTGCTTGAAATATTGGTGAAATCAATGTTCTCTGATTATTAAGTATGATTCATAATGGCCTTTCCAAGTTCAGTGAACACATACTTAATTCTGTAAACGAAATAAGGAATAAGTCTTGAATATGCTTCTTTTTCCATGTCCAGTGAAACTTCTCTGGGTTCTTGCAATTATTCTCTTGATCTGTTCTCTCTCTTGCTGAACAACAATCTATGCCATAATGATGCCATTCACGTATTTTAAGTCCCTGAAGGCTTGCTTCATTTACTTCTCAAGGATTTGGCAATAATTTGAACTTCTGTGATTTTGCTTTTGTGGTTCTATTATTTAGGAGATGCCAAAATTGGCAATAACAATGTCAGCTCTTTAAAGAACGATGACTTCACCATGAGGGGTTTACGACGTGATGGGAATGCCGATGATATCTGGACTGCCTCACAAAATTCAAAATCCTGTGGGAAAAGCATTTCCATAGAAACTGCCAATTTAAGAGAATATGCTAGATATGTACTGAGGACTATCTGTCAACAGGTATTTTTCAGATTTAATTTGCCTTTAATTTCACTGTATAATTGTTCTTATGAGAGAAATGCTCACTGTTGTAGGAAACTTGCACATTGGGGGTCCTTTTCTTCCTGCTAACTTTATTTGGAAATAAATTTGAATTTGTTGAAAAGTTGCAATAATAATAATAAAGAACTCTAGTGTATATGCCCTTTATGTAGATTCACCAGTTGTTTACATTTTTCACCAGTTGTTCACATTGCTTTATGATTCTATTTGTGTGTGAATGTGGATGCATATACTTTTTAATTTTTTGCTGAAGCTTTTGAGAGTAGATGGCATACATTATGAATCTTTACTTTTTAATACTTTAGTGTTTACTTATTAATATAACCAAATGCAGTTACCAAAAAACAAGAAATTTAGCCTTGGTACAGTAATTTTTTCTCACCTGCAGGCCATATTCAATTTTGTCAGTTGTCCCATAATGTTGGTTTTGTCTGAAATTTCCCATAGATTAGCTTCAGATGATGCAATCTTGGCCAAGATGCTACAGAAGTAATGTTGTGTTCTAGGGTAGTCACACCTGAAGGCACATGATGTGCATCTGCACCTCAGATCGTTTTGATCAAGATGTCTCCATTGTATGGTTTCAAGATCTCGCTGCTGTGTAGTTACCATTTTTTCCCCTTGCAATCAGTAAACAGTCATTGGGAGACATTTTGAGACAACACAGATATCTTGCTCTTCACGAAACTCCACCACCCATATAGCATTCATTTTGATTCTTGTCCAAACTCGTCTTTATATGAGGGTTACAAAATGGTGATTGCTTTTCCCCCCAACTCCTCTATAGTTAATGATTTGCATTGTACTCTAAAGAGAGCCTACCCTTATTAATTTTTTCCCTTATTCTTATTTATTTGTTATCCGTATGGATTATAAAATACTATCCTTAGTTATTTTCATGTTCAAATTGTCACAGATTTGTCCAGTGGGAACCTTTTCATCCTGGCTTTTAAATTATTTTGACATGTCTCCATCCCTTCCCCCCGCTGCCCCAAGTACTTTCTTAGTTCCTGGCCCACCTTGTGCTTTCCCTGTTCCAAACCTGGAATTACTCATTCCTCCAAGGAACTCTGGTTCTAGTTAGTAGAAGATGGTATTTAGAAACCAAGATATGGGCACTGTGGTGCTCGTTACTGTGGGCAGTGGGTGTTCTTTGTCTCTAGGCCCTTTCAGCAGATAGAAGTAGGAAAAAATACATGCATATACATAAATGTCTGTGTATATTCATGAGTTTGTACTGATACATCCACTTCTGTTAACTCCACTTAGTTCTTTGCATTCCCCCATTCCATATTAATATTGTCTTCCACAGCAAGAACCCTGGCTCCCAGTAAGATCAATCATTTACTCGTGTACTTAATTCTGTACTACACCTGAAATAGTTTTCAGAATTGCTACACCTATACCACTAGGAAAAAATGAAAAGGAGTTGAGGATTTGTTTTTGTGTGTGTTAAACATCTTTTTGAACTTTCTCCTTCAGTATGGATGGTATTCATTTGAAATAGAATTGATTTCATTTGTTTCTGTTTGCATTCAGTTTAGATTCCCTTTTTCTTCCTCCCCACATCAGCTCTGCTTTAGACTAGCATGCTTCTACAAGTCAACTGCACAAAAAGGAGTACTAAGAGATGTATTCTCTGTCTCTTCTATCAGGCTCTTCTGTCCTGTGTTTTTTCCTGCCCTTGGTCATCAGTTTTATTATTTTTTAATTTATCTTCCTTTTTTCCCCTAATTTCTCTTTTCTTATAAAAAAAAAAAGAAAACATGGCATACCATATATACTATTTTCCATTTTGATGGAGACCTTATGTTAAAGGGTCATGTTTTTATTAGGGCATATTGTAACTATGGTTAAAGTTCGTGAAATGGTCATATAGATAGTGAGAGGCAGTTGTGTATTGGTTCCCAACCAGAAGCACCAAAGGTCAAACAGTTTTAATCCCTGAAAAATATTACTGATGTCTGGGTCCCACCATCAGATATTTATTTGATGGGGCCTGGGCTTTGGAATTTTAGCAAGCTCCCTGGGTGACTTTAATAGATACTCAGCGTTGGGCTCCTGGTGTAGTTAAGAAACTAGGCCACCTCTGAAACAGATCTGGGTTCAAATTGCACTCTGTTGATGATTTCTTCTATAGTATAAGAGTTTGCAATGATAAAGAAAAGGTGATAGGGGTTTAAATTGGTAGAAACTCTCTGGAGGGCAATTGACTATATGTATCAATAGTTTTAAATTTTGTTATACTCCTTGACCCAAAAATTGTGCTTTTATGAAATTATTCTAAGAAAATATTTGTATAGAAAGTAGATATGCACAAATATTTATAATAATAGCATTTAGAATATAAAAAATGAAGACAGTTTTCTAAATGTTTTACTCTTCTTTCTATTCAGTGGAATGCACTATGCGTTACATAAAAATGAAGACATGTAATAATACAGAATCATTACCATTACACACCAATATTTTCTTTAGTTTCTTTAGCTTTCTTTTCTTTCCTTTTTTTGCATATTTGTTTTTCAAACTTTTTTTTATTACGTTAATCACCATACATTACGTCATTAGTTTTTGATGTAGTGTTCCATGATTCATTGTTTGCGTACAGGACCCAGTGCTCCATGCAGTACGTTTTTTAACCAAGATCCCACTTTGTATTTTTAGGAAGTCAAAATACCAGGAATTTTGTTTTCAAAATTTTTCCCACCTACTTTTTTCATGTAATTTTTTTTTAATTGGAAGATTTCTGTCTGCTTTATATTCCATTGTGCCACATGATTTAGTGCCTATTACATTCATGTATAGAAAGTCTCTGCCTGTCAATCTAACAGCCGTTTTTTTTTTTTTTTTTTTTTTTTTTTTAAGGAATGGGTAGGAGAACATTGCTTAAAAGAACCTGAAAGATTATGCACAGACAAAGAGCTTATATTGGACCCTGTGCTTTCAAATATGCAAGCACAGAAATTACTACAGCTTATCTGTTATCCTCATGGTATTAAAGAATGTACGGAGGGGGACAACTTGCAAAGACAGCACATTAAGCGTATTCTTCAGGTGAGTGATTAATAAGAGTCTAAAGATTGTGTTTCTGTCATGTAACACTTTTTTTTTTTTGCTTTTTTTTTGCTCAGTGCTAACTAATTCTTGACTTCAATTCTGATATTTATTCTCCCAACTTTCTTTTCTGTGCAATTGCTGTACTTCATTGCTAGGTAAATACAGATACTGCAAATGCTATACAATCATAATATAAACATTGATATTTTAAGTCTACTGTATTTAGATGAGACATAAGCTTTCTGGAGGGATAGTCTTAAATATATTATTCAAAAAGTATTGAAATTATTTTGGAATGGGATTGCTTAGATGAATAGATTTTGGGAGAAGAAATCCCTATCTTATTTCCAGTGCCTGGCTGAGTGATGTGCATTATTTTATTTTACTTTATTTTATTTATTTATTTTAAAGATTTTATTTATTAGAGTGAGCGAGTGAGAGAGAGCACACAGGCAAGGGGAGGGGCAGAGGGAGAAGCAGACTCCCTCCCATTGGGCAGGGAGCCCAATGCAGAGCCCGATCCTAGGCCTCCAGGATCATGACCTGAGCCCAAGGCAGACGCTTAACTGACTGAGCCACCCAGGGGTCCCAGATGTGCATTATTTTAATGTTTGTTTTTTTTTTAATTTGTGTCTACAATGAATGTATTTAATGGACCTGGAAGCCTTTTGATCCCTACAAATTCCTTTATTCTGTATGATTATTCTATTCTTTCTTGAGAGAGGGAATACTGCAAGGAATTATTATATTTTAAGACACACTCAGTATCCTTGATGTGTTAATTCTTTCCATTTTCCCCAGAATCTTGAGCAGTGGACACTAAGGCAGTCCTGGCTAGAACTTCAGTTAATGATCAAACAGTGCTTGAAGGACCCTGTGAGTATATATATTGGAAGGATGTGTTATGTATACAAAATTTTAAGAACAGGAAGAACACGTTGATGTTGGAAGATGAAGTAAAACATATGCATGCTAGTTTTCTTATGTGTAACTCCAGGGCTCTGGTTCAGTGGCTGAAATGAACAACTTACTGGATAATATTGCAAAGGCAACAATAGAGGTATTCCAGCAGTCTGCTGACTTGAACAATAATTCTTCTAATTCTGGAATGGGCCTCTTCAACCCAAATGGGATTGGAAATACTGATACAAGTAGCACGAGGCAGAATGGAATAAAGACATTTCTAAGGTATTTTTTTCTGCAGTTTGGGCTGTGTTCACTTTTTCACATGTAATGGTATATTTTTATTTGCATGATGCATTACTTTTCATAAAGCTGCAGGAATGTGAAATTATTTGTGTCAGTTATCATTATTTTATAATATGTTAAAGGGCACGATGATGAAAGATGTCTCAGTGTTTACCACATCCAGACTCCTTGGAACTACATATGACACGCGGAAGGGATTAATTTCTTCACTGTCTAATTAAGGCTACTCTGTTCTATAGAATTCATTAATTGGCAGTGTTGCACAAAGGTTAATCATGATAGGCAGATTGATTTGTATCTCATCATTTGGGTGTAAAGTATAACTAGTGAATTTTACGGCCTTATAAATTGGTTATTAATATGCTTAAATATCATCAGAACATTTCATATCTTAACCATGACAGTAAAGTGTGTTGCTTGTTGTACAAAAGGACTGTTGCTAATCAGAGAACTAAAATCATAGAAGAACACTTAATAGATTTAAAAAGTTTTTGTTTGTTTTTTTTTTTATTATATCAGAACCCCATGTTTTATTGCTCTCCATAGCAAGAGTGGAAAAGTGTGTTCAACTCTCTGATATTTGGCAAGAGGAAAGATAGTACAGAGTTAAAAGGGAAATTTTAGGATAATTGGTGTTTCTTATTCATGAAAGTTTTTCCCTGGAGTTTCTGTTATAACTGTGAGAGCAGAGGAAAAGGACACCTCCGTAGGTATAACACCTATTTCTGATTTTAGCTCCTCTGAACGCAGGGGTGTGTGGCTGGTGGCCCCCCTAATTGCCAGGCTGCCGACCTCTGTGCAAGGAAGGGTACTAAAAGCTGCTGGAGAGGAGCTGGAGAAGGGACAGCACTTGGGCTCCTCTTCAAAAAAGGAAAGAGACAGACAAAAACAGAAAAGGTACGGCTGCAAGGTGTGTCTCTTTGTGAGGGCTTAAGGAATGATTGAGAACAAGTAGCATCTTGCAGACATACATGGTCAGTGTACCCAGAGTGCACTGAAATTATGTTTTTAAATGGAAATGAAAATAATCTGTTAGGTAAAGCTCAGATCCTAAAAAGTTCCAGGTTAAACATATTTAGTACACCAGTTCATTCTACTTGTGTACCCAAATCACTGCTGAGCCATTAAAAATACCAACTTCTTAGCCTCACCTCAGACCTGTTGAATCAGATCTGGATATCCATTTAGTCCCTATATTCTACATTTAATTACTTTTCATTGTTTTAATTATTTATGTTTAAAATACATAGAATTATTTATCATTCTGTCCTGTTGGGCCCTAAGATAGTAATATTTTTAACATTTAGGGCTCTTGTTCTAGACTAAATACTAAAATTTATAAACCACTAAGTTTAATCTTTACTTCATTTATTTTAGGCCCCAGAAATAGTTTCAAATAATTAAATTTGCAGACTGACTCTGTTACTGAGAAAGAACAGAGCTATGCTCTACTGTGAAAATATGAATTTAGCACCTCAGGAGTGAAGGGAAATAAGATCTCTTCCATTTAAAAAAGAAAAAACAAAAAACTCTGAACATGTATAGTTCTTACCCCCTAATTAATATTCTAGTAGCTACCATTTATTGAGCCCTTATGAAATGCCATTGTATAAAACACATCACATACATACATGAACTTTTAAATTATCACAGCAATCATATGTGGTGGGCACTCTCATTATACCTTTCTTAAGATGAAGGAAGGGAGGCACTGAAAAGTTAATTTCACAAGGACACACAGCTAAGGAGTTTACTGTAAGACTTGAGTTTAAACCTGGGTTGTCTGGCTCCTGAGACCCTCCTGCTCTTTAACTAAAGTGCATTTTCGTAGAGATCTATTTTACATGTATTTTGTTTGTTTCCTGGTTGTTTTGGGTGTTACCTTTGTGAGGGTCAGTCAACCAACCCGATGACTCAGTTTTAATTCTGGAAGTTAATTTGCTAATGGATGTTGCATGTACATTGCCTCTCTTCGCACGGAGGGGACACAGATGGTATTGCATAGTTTAAAGATGACTCTTCCCAAGTCAGTATCTCTCAGCTCTGCTGGTAGAGGATGAAGCACATTGAAATCTTTGGGTCTCGATCTCCTTTTAAGAATTTTTTTTCCCACATAGCACTTTGTTTGTCAATATGATTTGTTAGTTCTCCGATAATTGAAGAAATATTAATAAAATGACAATTTAAAAAATATATATATATATATTTTTTTTAACTCAAATGCCTTAACACCTCTTATGATGAGGCTATGGGATATGGTGGGTCACTAACAAGCTCACTGCTTTTGGATCCTCAGACCTAGGTGCTGATCTTAATTTCTCTCAATACCCGCCCTCTTTGGTCTTAAGAAATGTGCTAAAAAATAATATAAGCACAACAGTCGTATAGGCCTGTTTCTTTGACTCTAAGATAATAGTTTTGTGTGACAGAAATTTTTAAATTTTTCATTTTCTTCTGCATATAAAGTGATACTGCTGCTGATGTGCATCTTCAATTCAGCTTACTGATACAAAATAGAAATTCTCTTCTCACTGCACTCCCCCAACATGCTCTTGCAATATGAATTTATGCTAGTTTGGGAATGCCTTCAAGGGCAGGAGAGCATATTAAATTATTTAGAATCATCACAGTGGCTTTTAATCTTTTTAATAGAGCTATGATTTAACTTTTTAAGTAGGCTTTGGCTATTTACTACTCTCTTTCCTTTTCTAGTAGTAAAATAAAATAGGGCAAGAGATCTATGTTGCACAGGAAGTAATCCATCCTTTCTAACTAGATCTGCTGTTACTACTTCCTTTGTAGTATGTCTCTTTTGAGTCAACAACCTTTCCTCTCACTGGTCCTTACCTGCCTTAAGGGACAAGATGAACAACGGGAAGGCCTCCTAACATCTCTTCAGAATCAAGTTAATCAGGTAAAGTATACGAGAATATTAAGCCAGGCAAGTATTTTTCTAATGACATTAATTTGTTTTCCTTTCAAATACTGAGATTAAACTAATAAGACGACCACATATTTTGATTAGCTGCAAGGAAACACAATCCATGTCCTATTTTCCTACCTGGCATTCTAGGCACCACAAGATTCACAGTTTTGTAACAGTAATTATGCATTGTGCCCTATAAAAATAATATTTTGTACATTGCGTACAACTTTGACATATCTGCTCCTCTCCTGATCCTGCGTTGTGGGAGAGGTGCTTAAGCAGTGTGTGTTGCAGGTGTGGTGCTAAGACAGAGGAACCTCTCTCGAGCTTCTCCAGCTCCACCCCCACCTATCTGGAGGGTCTCAGCTTGAGCTCTCTTCATTCAGAAACTCAGTTTTATTTTCTTTGTTTCTTTTTTTTTTTTTTAAGATTTTATTTATTTATTTGTCAGAGCGAGAGAGTGGCAGGCAGAGGGAGAAGCAGGCTCCCGGCTGAGCAAGGAGCCCAATGTGGGACTCGATCCCAGGTCCCTGGGATCATGACCTGAGCCGAAGGCAGACGCTTAACCGACTGAGCCACCCACGCGTCCCTCAGTTTTATTTTCCTGCCAGAGCCAGACCAATGCCAGTTGAGTGTAAAGTACTAATTTCAAAATCAGAAGGTATATTGATTTGTGTACAAAGAATTTGAATTTTGGCTTTCCACCACCCACAGTTCTCCTGGTCACTCTTTGGGGCATTTGCATTCTGTGTACTTAAAGGAAGCCAGGTGATGGAACTAGAAATTGGGAAGTGTGGAATTGAGCAAAGTAGGTAGATTGGTCATGTGGGATGTTTTATCCGCTTACAGAGCCAAATGGAACCCTCCTGTGGCCCTCCGTTTCTATGACATCATGTCTTTCTTTCAGATGGTACTACATGAATGTGAACAAGGATACTTGACTCATTTGGTCCTCTCGTCATCTCCCGCTTTTTAGATATGAGAGATCTATCCTTTGCACAACAGCCAAAGTGATCCTTCTAAAATGTAAATCACCTGTTACTTTGGTGCCCAAAATACTCCAATGTTTCTCAGTATATCTAGAATAAAAATTCAAAGTCTGGGCTTATAGAGGCCTACATGATTGGCACTGGCTCCCCCTTCTGCCTTGTTTCCTACCAGTCATGCCTTGCTCACTCCACTCTTCACACTGACCCCATTGCTATCCTTTTTTTTTTTTTTTAATTTATTTATTTTAGAGAGCAATCAAGCATGCTTGGGGGGAAGGGCAGAGGGATGGAGAGAGGGAGAGAAGCGGACTCCTCACTGAGCATGGAGCCCAAAGCAGGACTCCATCCCATGACCCTTAGATCATGATCTGAGCCGAAATCAAGAGACAGAAGTTAAATTGACTATTAAAAGCCACCCAGGTGCTCCACTGTCCTTTGAACTTGGCAAGCAGATTCTCATTGCAGCACCTTTGCATCTTTTTTTCCCTTTACATGGAAGGCTTTCCTCCCAGATAATAGCAGGGTTGCTCCCTCATTTCATCAGGTCTGTGCTCAGGTGTCACCTCCTCATGGAGGCCTTCCCTGATCACTTTCCAAAAATAGGACCACGGTTATTTTGTATCCCCTTGACCTGGTTCATGCAACTTCTTACATTTGACTTATTTTTAGTTGTCCTGTTGCTAGAATGAAAGCTCTCATACAGTTTTGTGTTTACTGTCTTGGACCCTCAAGTCAGACTTGGGAGAGGACTCTATATTGATGAGATTGGAGAAATGCTCTCCTCTCATCATGCCATATACTTACAGTTCATCTGTTGGGCAGGGTTACTTCCCCATATGACTCATTTTAACTCATAAGATGATTCTCAGTAGTTACCATATTTCAGAGCATGGCAGTAAGGGGAGGGACTTTGCCCTTGCCATCTGATTCTAGGGTGTTGCCCACTTGTGGTTTGCTTCTCCTAAGCAAATCTTCGCTTTTCTAACATTAGTCTGAATCAGTGAAAGCAATCACTTTGTAGAACAATACACCACTTGACTGATGTGAAAATTGTCATATGTTTCAAAATAGTATATACATTCTTTATCAATGAAGACAGAAGTGTAAGATAGCAAGACTCCCCCCTTCAATAAAACATCAAAATAATACATTTGCTAGGGTTCATAGGTCCCTAGAAATGTAACACAGAACTGATATAAAATATAATTCTGTCTATTCAATATTTATCTTAATAAGACCAGTGAAATAACATATTTAAAAAGTAATCTGTTTGTTTGTTAATCTTTAACTTCATCTTCCTTTAAAGCATTTTCTAAGACTTATTACCAGGATTGTAAATAGATAAGAATTTTCTTCTTCCACCTAGAAAGGCAATGAGCAAGAAATAACCAGATTTCTGTCTGCGTGGAAGAAGGAGGAAAGCTAAAATTTTATTTTGCTTTGTTTATTAATTCGTTAAAGTAAGAATTATTTTTGACTGTCGGTAAGAAGCTCAATATAACTTTAAGAAAAAATCCATTTTAATAGGGAAAATAAGTTTTGGGTTCTTCCATTTATTTGCTGATTTAGATTTTAAGTAATTGGAGAGAAGAACGATACCAAGATGACATAAAAGCACGGCAGATGATGCATGAAGCATTGCAACTTCGCCTAAATTTGGTAAGGGGCATTTCTAGTGTTTTCCCTCCATTACACTTATCTAAATGTGAAAATGACTCCAGCGTTCCACTCCTTCGATGGTCATACTCTTCATTCCAAGGTGTGAGGCCTTCCACTGTTGGCTCTTTGCTCTAACAACTTACCGGTCTCTCACGTGTCTGTCCTTGCTGCTGACCTTCCCGTCTGGTCTGACTTCTAGAGGGCATAGGTATTTTGGGCATTGGTGTTCTGCACCTCCTGCCCCAGGGAATTTCTCCTCCTTTTCAGTTTGTGCTAAGAGTAGGTCTGAGAAGGTTATTGCTTTGAGATGAATTAGCTTTGATTATACTCACTTAAAGACCCATATAAAAATGTGCCGTAAGTCGAACTTTTGTCAAACTTTCCATCATATTGATCAAAAAAACAAATTCGACAGGGAGGCTATCCAGACATTTAAAATTTCTCACACATTGCACATTTCTTTGAAGTTTTCTTTTCCTATTGGACAAACCTCAATGAAGGCTACTCTGGTGGATGGCTTGCCTGATACTTGGCAGTTGCTGCCCGTCAGTCTTCTGTGTTACTGGATATTTCCAAGTGTTATTATGACAATAGGCTTAGATGCAATAGTAATTGAACAACACAAAGTTGTAGATAATCAACTTACCTGGTTTTGACCTATTCAGATTGGACTAAAGTTATATTGTAAAACTGGGTATTATGAAAGATTAGGAACAAAAGAGAGTTAATTTTCCTATTACTTAATTCATTATTGATGTTGTGCCCACACTCAGGTTCCCCTTCTCCTCCTACCCCACCCCCCTCTTTTTTTTTTTTTTGAATGACCAAATTCCTGTGCTGAAGGAACCAAAAACAGTGACAAATAGGTAGCTAGCTAAGAGAGAAGATATGATAACCTATAAACTTGAGTCTTATTACTGTTTTGTTTTGTTTTGTTTTGTTTTTTAACAAATCAAAATTGGCTACATAAAGTGATGGGATGTTATTTTCTTTGTAATAAAGTTTTATTGTATTTTTTTTTTTCGTGCCAGGTGGGTGGAATGTTTGACACTGTGCAGAGAAGCACCCAGTGGACGACAGACTGGGCCCTCCTCCTCCTCCAGATCATTACTTCTGGAACTGTTGACATGCACACCAACAAGTATGTTCTTACTTCACACATAGTATGCTGCACACGTGCATGGTAGAAGTTTTGATATGCTGACTATAAACTGTGTCACATCTTATTCTCTTAGTTACCATCAAAAGTTCTGTGCCTTAAATAAAAATGCTATTAGTTAAGAATATCTTGGTTTTGCTTTAAGGTGAAAATAATTATTTTTTTCCCCCCTCTTAGTGAATTATTCACAACAGTTCTCGACATGCTGGGTGTTTTAATCAATGGAACCTTAGCCTCAGACCTATCAAATGCATCCCCAGGGGGATCTGAAGAGAACAAACGTGCATACATGAATTTAGTAAAGAAACTGAAAGTAAGTTTGTGACCTGCTTATATATCATGATCTCAGATAGTTTATGCATTAGTTATTTGCTGCATTTTATCTTAATTTACTGTGTTAAGTTAGATGTTATGCGGTTATTCTGCTATTTGCTTTACCTCAGCTTACTAGTACTCAAAAGTTATAAGCATATAGCTTGAAGATATTTCTTAAAAAAATTATATTCACAAAATATTTAACTTTTTAAGGAACTTTGGAAATTTACTATCAAATGTGTAACAAAAATGCCCACATTGGATTTAGGATGAACCATGCTTGGACTGGCACCTATAATTGAAAAAATAATCATTTGCATTGATATTTCTAAACCCAATTCCTTTGACTAACCAATAATGCAATCTTTGAAATAAACGGTAAACAAATGGTGCAGAAAAGAGAAAAGATCATATTTCTAACGACCTTATCAATGATATAACCAACGATTACCTTGAGGCTTGACCCTGGATTTGAGAACGTGTTCTCTGCTGCAGCTTCTGCCTACTGCTGGCAAATACTACACGGGATTTTTGTCATTTCAGCACTGTGATATTTGTTGTGTAACCAGGGTCCCATTGTATGTGTTCTATTTTCTACTTAAATAGAAGAAATGAAACATACTCACTACTCTAATTGAAAGCTGCATCATAGACCATGTTCAAGGTTAAAGAACATTCTGGCTATAAAAAAGGAAATGTTTCAAAGAGAAACTTCCTTCTCACCAACTTTTGCCTTCGTTGTAATTTCTGTCCCACTTCTCTATCTCTTTTTGTTTTGTTTGTTTGTTTTTTTAGAAAGAGCTAGGAGACAAGAGATCAGAAAGTATTGACAAAGTTCGACAGTTGCTACCTTTGCCAAAACAGACATGTGATGTCATCACTTGCGAACCTATGGGTTCCTTGATTGACACTAAGGGAAACAAAATTGCTGGATTCGACTCTATAGATAAAAAACAGGCAAGAGTAAATGTTTGTTTCTTGTATATATTTTCTCCTCTTCCTATAGGGTATATGAGATACCTCAATTTTACAGTTTCTTGATTTTTTTAAAGCATAGTCTTGTCATTTAAATGCTTTGGTCATTGGCGTTATTACATAGATAAGTTCATTTAAAACTTTATGTGAATTTAAGTGAATTTCTGAAACACGCTGAAGGAAAATTAAGTAAAAATGTATTGTTAAGGGGCATCTGAGTGGCTCAGTCGGTTAAGTGTCTGCCTTCAGCTCAGATTGTGATCCCGGGGTCCTGAGGGTCGTGGGATCAAGCCCAGCCCCTGTCTCTGCTCAGCGGGGAGTGTACTTCTTCCTCTCCCTCTGTCCGCCCCCCCCACTCATGTGTGCACATGTACTCTCTCAAATAGATAAATAAAATGTTTTTTTAAAAAATGTATTGTAAAAATAAAAGAAGGCAAAGACCAGATCTGATCTTACTTCAGAGTTGACAACAGTACGTTTAGATAAGAAAATTTTGATTGATAAAGTCTTCGTGTACTAAGCTATTTTGAGTAAAAAAATATTTTTAGGGTGATGGTACTTAATTTTCTTCTCTGTTGAACAGTATTTCATTGAACACTTGTTTTATATAGAATATTAAGCAAGGTTCCCTTAAATACAAGAAGAGTGGTTATTCATTTAATGAACATTGAGCAACTACAGAGATGAAAGAGCTCTTACCTTAAGCAGAAGTAGACAGACGATCACAGTGTGGTGAGATTTGTGTGTCATGGTGCAAAGTGTTAGGGGACCCTGAGAAGGAGCCATCACCCTCAGAATGGAGTAGGTAGTCAGAATAGGGCCCCCCAGAAAATTGACACTTGAATTATTTTGAAGGATTAAGAGTTAGTTGGGAAATAGGGAAGTGTGTGATACAGGCCAATGGAAGAGTTTTCCTAAAGGTATGAAAGAATGTGGCTCTTAGGAGAAATGCAATGCTACGTTAATTCAGAGTACTTTTACCAGTGTGATTGTGGAGACAGAAAAAGCTAGTGTTATGGGCAGTTTGAGTTTGTAGGGTCATTGGGCTCTCTAGTGGTGAGACATCTAGAAACCATTTGGATATATGGTGTTTGCACCTAGGAAGAGGTCTAAGCTCAAGACAGTATTAGGAAACAGTCAATTTATATATAGTAAATGAGCCTTGATTTTGGATAAATCCATCCATGAAAGAGTTGTGTAGATAAGAACAGGAGCATTCATATCTTATGGAATGCCTGAGTAGTTGTTTTTGGGGTCATTCTGAGGAAAAATACTTTAAAGTTGGTATGCCAGGGAAAGTACCAAGAGACATCACCAGTTAATGTTAAAAATAAGAAACCTTTATTTTCAGAAACAGAGTAACATTTCCTCTTCTCAACCCAGTAGAGATAAGCTTGAATTAAAAGACTTTATTTGTACCTGTAGGTACAAGTTAACTTCTGTAGTAATATTCTTTAACTATTCAGAAACTGCCTTATTAAGTACGTGAAAGATTCCTGTACTGAATCAAGCCCATACATGTTTGGATTGAAGTTAATTTGAGCCCAGTTAGAAGTTGACTTAACTTGACTCAAGTTTTGTTTTATCTCAAAAATAACAAAGTTAAAAAAAAATGAAATCCAAAGAAAGGGTTATAATTCATAATTTAATAAAGTAAGATCAACATTGCAGTACTTTTTAGAAAGTGTTTTTTCCTGAAAACAAAACAAAACAAAAAAAACCCTAACTGCGGAATACCAATTTACAGTAAAATATACTGGACCATCTGGTGTTGCAGCCTGAACAGATTATCATGTGGCCTAAAGAGCCGCAGAATTGAACTTAAAGGTCTGAATTCTAGCTGCAGCTCTCCGGTGATCTAGCTGTGAAACCCTGAACCAGCACATTTACCTGCCTGCTGTATGCTAGGGCACTCTAAGCCTCACCACCAGCCAGAATGTTCTTTGCATCCATGTCCTAAGCAGGCCTGGCCTCTGAGTCAGGAAAAGACCTGAACGTGAGGTCATGGCGCATTATCTCAACCACAGGGTCTTCAGGTCTCTACAAAGCAGAAGGTGTCCCCGTGGGATTTGTTTGAGGGTCAGAAGAACCCAGCTCCTCTGTCCTGGGCCTGGTTCGGGACTGTCCGAGTGGACCGGAAGGTGATCAAGTACGAGGAGCAGCATCACCTGCTCCTGTATCACACACACCCCATGCCCAAGCCCCGAAGTTACTACCTCGAGCCACTGCCCCTGCCTCCCGAGGAGGAAGAGGAAGAGCCCACATCTCCCGTCTCTCAGGAACCAGAGAGGAAATCAGCTGAGCTGTCAGATCAGGGGAAAACCACAACAGACGAGGAGAAGAAAACGAAGGGAAGGAAGCGCAAGACGAAATCAAGCTCAAGAGTTGATGTGAGTATGAGAAGTCCGGAAGTCTTTGGCTCATTAACACCTGGTAGGAGATTGAATCGTGCCCAGAGTCTGTCTCTAGCTATAGGAAAAGCATCAGAAGCCTTATTGTAATAGCTGTAATCCTAACAAAGCTCTGTCTTAATTAATAGAATGGCACATGAACAGTGACTTGTCACAGACCACAGGATTACAGCTTCTGATTTTTCCTCCCCTCCTGTTCATTACTTTAATTTTAGGCTTCTCTTGTGAATAATCTTTAATTAATATTTCAGTGCCTCATAATTTCTCACATTTAAAACTTGAATTTCTTAGATCCCTTATATCTCATCTTCTTGCATATTTTTATTATCTCACGTCTAAAATATTTATCATCTTTTGAGCAGTTGACACATGTAGTAAATTAATGTGAAAAACTGTTCTCATTTCCTAGCTAACATGCCATCGAATACATCCAGTAGGATGTTTCTGAGATTTCATATTTTACCATTCCATCTTATTTTCCTGTATATTTTACTTCTTTAACATGCTTTTAGACTATATAGAAGACAAACACAATTTTAAAAAGTTTCATTCCTTTTTTTCCCTATTAGCCTTCCCTACCTATACCAACATTTTCTTGAAAACAACAGAAACCTATGAGATGGTAATTTGGAAATAATTTTGTAGCATTTATAGAATTAATGTGCAAGAATATCTTTACATTTAAATTCACCTGGAAAATACTTGAGAGAGAATTCAAAACAGTTTTGTATAAAGTTCAAGGGTATTCTTGTACAATGGAAGAAATATTCACAATTGAGTGGTCAGATGTCTTGTCTTATTATTATTTACCTATGTCAGAACCAAAACATATCTTTTCCTAGCTGCTAGCTTGGTGATTAATGTTTTACTAGAGAAGATCACCATCACTTTTGGATGCCACTTGAATGGTAGTGCCCTCTTTTCATATGGTCTTCCTACCAATATTCCTTTGTCTTGAAGAGGTCCAGGCTGCAACTCCCTAAAATCTGGACCCTCCTAGCCCGTCAATCCACATGGATAGGTTTCTGGTTTTTTTCCAGATACAAAAGTACTAAAACTTCTCTCATTTCCTGAGTGAGTCCTGGTAATGTCCCTTCCTCCCATACTACTTCTGGAACTGCCCCTACACAGTTGGTTATATTTCAGGGATCCAAGGTTTTGTTTTTCCTTTATCCTTTAGGGCTAGACTAAGAGAAGGGGAATGGGGGATGGCAGGGGAATTGAGACATCTGGGTGTGAACCTTAAAGACTTTGCATCTCTTATAAGGAAGACGAAGCCTGGGGCGCCTGGGTGGCTCAGTTGGTTGAGCGACTGCCTTCAGCTCAGGTCATGATCCTGGAGTCCCGGGATCGAGTCCCACATCAGGCTCCCTGCTCAGCAGGGAGTCTGCTTCTCCCTCTGACCCTCCCCCCTCTCATGTGCTCTCTCTCTCTCTCTCTCTCTCTCTCTCATTCTCTCTCTCAAATAAAAAATAAAATCTTAAAAAAAAAAAAACCTTTAAGGAAGACGAAGCCTGGGAGCGGGGTGCAGGCAGATGGTGGAGAGTCTATGTCTTTAGGTTGCTGCCTTGAAAACTGGAAATAAGATACTGTTTCGGCCAGGGATTGGTCCTGAAGTATATTGGGTCTTTCTGGCCTCATTCTCATCCGGACCCAACATATCAGGAAGTCTTCCTAAGGTGACCTAAGATGAAATGATCCCCAGAGACTTAGCATCTAAAGATGCACTTTAAGTTGTAGGCAGTGGTCAATGTTGATGTACTTTTAGTATTTTAAAAAACAAACTTCAGAAGTGATCCTTTTACATCTTCCCTTCACTTCTTAAGTCTAGTACTTCTTAAGTCAAAAGTTTTCACTCAAATGAGTGTTTTGCAGAGAACATGCTGACACTCTTGCCTTCCATCTTCCCCTCTATAAAAACAGCCTTGTCCACTGGGATAGGAGCTGGCTCAAGTAATGTGATAAGAATTTGCATTCATCATCTATATAGTTTATGGAGTTAAATAACTTTTTTTTTTTTTAAACTTTATGTTGAAGGAGTATCCACAGAGCAACATATACCGAGTGCCTCCTAACTACTCACCCATTTCCTCCCAGATGTTGCACCATCCACAGTCCACCTTGTGGGGCTACAACCTCATGGGTCAGCCCCAGCAGCCGGGTTTTTTCCTTCAGAACCAATCTCTTACTCCAGGTATGTGAAGAGAGAGTACGGTTGGGTCACTCTGAGATGTGAAGTAGCTTGAGGTTTTCTTTACTTTTGACCTGAAACAAAACGTGGAAACTGCAAGAACTGAGTACTCAGTTGACATTTATGTAATCCTTCCCATTTGAAATGTTTTTTCTTCTTCTAAAATACGGGTTTTTTTTTTTTTTTTAAATGAGTCTTTTAATCTATTGTTGATTGTCACATACATGAATATATTCTAATTGTAAGAATCAAATAATACCTGAACATATAGAGTAATTTAATATGTGCCAATTCTGGAGTATTTCTCAAGTGTTAAAATACAGTTTTAATTGCTAGGTTATGTTCTGAGTTGGGAGTTTTCATTCAGTATTAGAAGGAAATTAAATATATAAAATTGATAAAAGTTGTATGTTGTGAAATTTGTGTTTTTATCAGATATAATTCTTATCTGTGTTTTTAAAAATTAGACAATATTGCACAGTATCTTTATTTTCTTATGTTTTGAATTATAAATTGTTGATACTGAGAAGTATCTCAGAAATTTGGTTCAGCAGGTAGACTGAGATATCAAAGAAGGAAAACTTACCGAATCTATAGTAAATGTTCCTGATTTTAGTATGGCTTTCATTCAAGCCCAAGTAGACTTTATATCTGAAATGAACGTTCCCTAAATAAAAAATCTCTTACTTAGAAATGAATTTAATTTTTTTTCTAAATGAAAGTTTGCTTGTTCAACAAAATAGTGTATTTTGAGATCTTAGTCTGCATGTTGTGATTTTTATTGTAATTCGAGAATGACATTTTAAGGGCTAGGAAGAGACATTGTTTGATTCTTGGCTTACAGCAGGCGAGAATCCCTATTTTGTCTTCTAAATTAGAGGTTGAGAGGGCTGGTCTAGAAGTTACAGTTCTAGGTTCAGGTCTGGCTCAACCACTCTCCTGCTGTGTAATCTTGACCAGGTCTTAGTTTCTCTGTGCCTCAGTTTGGTTATATGTAAAAGAGATATTTTAATATATGCCCTCATAGAGTAGGTGATTCAATTATTTATTCAACAAAATGTATTGAACTTCATAATGTTCCAGACTCTGTTCTGGGTGATAGGATATTGTACTATACAAAATGAGTAAAAATGTTCATTCTTCTTTGAATAATGAAATAAGGGTTATATTATACATGAACACACATACACACAACTGTGTGTATGTGTGTGTAACTTAAATTTCGAAAATGTAGCACATAGAAGATGGCCTAACCCAGCAGACATGTTCAGCAAATGATCTTAACATATTCCCACCTCAGGGCTTTTGCACCTGCTGGCCCCCATGCCTGGAGTGCTCACCATTAGATATTTTACATGGCTCACTGCCTCCCTCCTTTGGGCTTGGTCAGATACCATTTTCTCAGTGGGCTTCTACTGACCACCCTCTTTTATAAATGGTAAGCTACACCCCTTCGTGCACCTTTATTCCCCTCTCCTTTCTGTTTCTCCATAGATGAGCACTTGGTTATATGCTATATATTTAACTTACTTACTGGTTTATTATCGGGCTTTCCCACAATATAAGCTCTGTTGGGGCAGGTATGTTTTCTGTTTCCTTCACTGTAGTGTCCTCAGAACTTAAAGCAAACTTGGGCTTTTAGTAAGCTCTTAAAAATAGGTTGTTGAATGTAGACTATAAAGAGTAACTAGACAATGGTAAATGTGGGAAATGATACATATTTTCTCATTTGACTTTCTCTTTTCAGTTCCAAAGTCCTTGTGAATTTTTTAGCCTTTTTAAACACCGATTCAGTATGAATTGAAGGCTAAGTATTTTATAAAGACCTATACTTTCTGTCCCTAGAATACTGTAAAAGGTGTTTATAAGTTAAGGAAATTTAGATATTAGGTAAGTTTTAAGTATGATGACATGTAAGAAAAATGTTAAAAGAAGCATTTATAGGGATTTTATATGTGTAAATTGATTTTTGTAAAAATATGAATCCTGTGAAGTTGAAGAGTGCGTACAGTATGCTTTCAGTCATATGTAGTTAAAATGCAAAGCAGTATGGCCCCTCAACACAGATGTGTGTACACACCCACCCACCCACCCGTCTACCATTTCTCTCTCTTCCTCCTGTATACACACCAGTATGGTAAAGTTATAAGGAAATGTTTGGGAATATTAAACACCATATTCAGAATAGCATTTGGTGAGAGAAGGTGCGGAAAGTAATTAGGAAAGTGCAGAGGGCTTCAGGGATACTTACTATATTTCTTTAGTTGGCTCAAAGGTACAAGATTATAAAAAAGTTAGGAAAATTAAAAGAAAATGGACGATGGCTTAATCCTTAGAAAGAATCTCCTTTATCTATAAAATGAGTCCATTAAGTTTTTATGTATTAGCACAGTTCCAGTTCTTGGTTCAACAAAAGTTACCTTGCCATATATCACTTAAATTGACTTTCCTCTTTTTTTCCTAATGTTCTTCAAATGCTGCTGATTTCATAAATCACATTGCTGGTGTGGTTCTGAGTCTTTAAAAGAATGTGGGTTTTCAGCTTTAAAATGTTTGTTCCCACCATACAACTTACTTTAAAAAAAAACATAAAACATCTTTTGTGAGATGCTTGTATTTATATAGAGGATTTCTTACACATATATTAGTGATTGACACCTCATTTTAAGCCAGCAAATGTTGAAATTTTTCCCCCCAAACTCTTAAAGGCATTTGACAAACTATATATGCAAGTATGTTAAGGATTGCCTTTGGTTTCTCAGGCATCACTACAATCAGCATCTCCTGTTTGATTTCAAGCCTTCAAAAAGCTGTGTTTTGTCTTTTGAGTCATGGTATCTGAAGTTTCCAAGCCTTTCGAGTTTTGAGAGTATTTTCATGCCAGTCTACGACGAAAGAGGCATTTTTATTTTGCCATGGTAAAGAAACTTAAATACCATGAGCTTCAAATTTGTTTAAAATGACAAAGGAGTTTCTATGACTGGCTTAGGACCCTTGGCAAAACATACCACGAAGGCAGTACACTTTATGCCGGTAATGTATTCCCCAGGGCCTTGCGCAATTTAAAACCCTCGTGATTCGAAATCATGCCCGCGAATCCGTGTCAGGCATTTCAGGTGATCAGCCAAAGTGGGGCCTCCGTGAAATCATTGAAATACTATACTTCACGCCTGCATCACCGTCCCCACCCTTTGGGAATTCTGCAGTTTCCAGCATACCTGTAATGTTTGTATGGTGTGTGGCGGGGCCTTATTTTCCATTCGCTCATGAAGTGAGGCTTAGAAGGTAAGGTTTCCATGTTTGGATAAAATAAGGAAGACCTGTGGCATTAACACGCGTAGAGAGCCCTTCTTTCTGGTTGCTTTTGTAGGTGGCTCCAGACTGGACCCCACGGGCTCCTTCGTCCCCACCAACACCAAGCAAGCTCTGTCCAACATGCTGCAGCGGCGCTCGGGCGCCATGATGCAGCCGCCCCCGCTGCACGCCATCACCTCGCAGCAGCAGTTAATACAGATGAAGCTTCTGCAGCAGCAGCAGCAGCAGCGGCTTCTCAGGCAAGCGCAGGCTCGACCTTTCCAGCAGGTTTGTACAGATCCAGCAGTGGAGCCTCTGCCTGCTGTTAGCGCCTCTAGCTAGGCATGAGTGCGGGGTATGGGGCGTATTCTTCCCGCCCGTGTATCCCGGAAATCTCGTGTGAGCGCAGGTATAGCTCTCCTACAGGTTTATGCCTCTCGTGTATTTTACTGTTATCATTGATCAGATAGGAGCTTGAAGTATCTTAGGTTCATGACAAGTACGCCTTAAAGCAAGAAGAGCTAATGACTCTCCAGTCCCCGAGAAGCAGAAGGTTTTTTTTCATCCCCGGAGTGACCCTAACTGAGCACTCATTCCCTGTAATTATCACCATATTCTGTACTCCTTTTAGCTCCTACTTTTGTTTGTTATTGTTAGATTGATCACTCTGAGGTTGTACCTCTAAAGTCCTGCTGTTTCTTAGGTTTCTCCCTACAGTGCCCTGCATAGACTCTATTTTCAGTATGTGCTTAATAAGGTCTATAGGAAAGAACATATTACAAATCATAGTCAGTTTACGGATACCTTCAATTTCATTCTTGATTTACATCATTGCTATTTTTATGCCCTCTAACTCTGTTTTATTTAACTTTTGAGATTACAGTGATTGTTCAACAAAACAGTGGTGGGAATCCTACACAGCTTACTATAGGCTCATGAAGCCCACAGATCTGTACAAATAAATAAAATAGAAAAAGAGGAGGTGAGATTGGGACCCCCCTCCCCCACGGTTTCTATATACTTTTTGTACTTTCCAATTTTTCCAAAAAATGCACTATTTTAATGAGGATGAGGAGGATAATAATAGTAGCAGCTAACACTAATAGAGCACTTACTATTTGCCAAAACATTTCTAAGCGCTTTAAATGTATTATCTAAGATCCCACAACAACCCTGGGATTTAGGTACTTTTTTGAACCTCAAAGGAAGTAGACAATCCATAGGTGTATCCTGCTCTAAGAAAAACCATAAAACTTTGAAATTAGCAAGAAATCCTAATGCTTTAAAAAACATCCTTTATATTTTGTGTAACTTTCTAGGCATATCTCCATTGTGTAACTTATGGCACTTTTGCATTCAGTCCACTTAGTGATTTGGGGGGGCTGGAGGTGGGATGGTTAATTGTACATTCTTTAAAATGGTTCTTGTTTTTACCTGTACTATAAGAAGGACAGGAGAAAGGAAATAGGTCAACTGTGTGGGAATGCGACCAACAGTCACTGCGTGCCTGTCTCTCCCTGACCTCTAGCATAATTGCTCAAACTCCCTGGGTGTCAGGTAAGATGGGCCTAAGTTGCTTCTTACACAGAAATGATGAGGATTTGCTTAAAATATTAAGAAATACTTATTTTACTTAAATAAGCAGCATGTTTGGAGCCATTTAAAAACCTCAGGGGTATTTTAGCTATTCTTGAGGATGAGCAAAAATAGTTACCTTTGTTTTAGATCTTGTCAAGATTTAAAAAAAGTTGCTGTAAGTTGAGTAACCATCCCACCAGGATGAATTCAGCTACCTTTTAAAGTGATTCAGGCCTAAGTAAAAATTTACGTTCCACTAAGTTTAGTTTTTCATATCTACCTTTTTATCACAAGGTATAATTTGTCTTATTAATAGCTCACTTTCAGACTGTTACTGCTAAGTTCAGTTTTGAATTGCTCTAAGTGATTCCTAGCATGGGGAAAACTCACTGGCCCATTTATAGTTAAACATGCTTTTCCTCAAAAGCTTCACTTCTGATACAAGTCATGACAAGCAATTTCCTCTAAAGCACATTTTTTTTAAAGGAATTGAATAGAATAACCTACATATAGTCAAAGATTCGTGCATATTTGCCGAAGGCAAGCTTATGACCTAAAATGTACCTGCAGGAACCCATTACTTCTACATTTTTCCTCAAAACACTCAAAAGTACCTGACTATTCTTTTACACCATGTAGAGTTGTATTGCTTGTACTAATAAGAGTTAATGTGTAGTTTGTTTTTTTTTTTCTGATTCTTTTTGCCAACTCTGTTTCTTTGCTTTTCCTTTTGTTCTCATTATTTTTGTCCTACCTTTCCTTTTTTTTTTTGAGAAGTCAGGAATTCCTTCCAGCAGTGAAAATGCAACTTCATAACAGTGATTGTACAATGTTTACCTTCCCCCACCGCCATATTTTTTTAACAGTTGGTTGAAACTTGCTTTACTCTCTCTGATGGGCTTTCAGAAGCAGACATTTTTTTTTTTTTTTCTCTCACCATTCTTCAAGTGTTGGATACTTGAGGGAAAATAATATTCTTCCAAGGAAGTGAAATAACACCCATGGTGCAGTAAGATGGTTCAGTGGTCCCACCTAGAGTCATGAGGTCACATGTAGCATTTGCCAGAGTGCCTGCACCTAGGTGGTCTCGGGGAAATGTTAACTCCTTTCCTCTCATGTACAAACGATTAATATACCTGGAATCTAGCTAAATAAGGTGTTGTGGCAGGAAAAAATTCTCCTTGTGGTAATCCTTAAACTGGAATAAAGGCAGCATTATATGGAATATAAGCAATATTGATAAGTTGTTTTAATACATGATTCTGGATGTGGTTGTTTTTCTAAGTAGTACTGACCTATATCCTTCATGATAAGAAATGATAGAGAAATGTTGATTCTAATTTTGGCCAGGACCATTTTCTCAAGTTACATGCCTGCATGTAATGTGATTCTCTCTAGCTATGTAAGAACTTGTCATGTCTTTTTTTCTTATGAAATAGAATTCATTTTTCTTCTTATCCTAGCAATTTTCTAATTCTAGGAATCCATTTTCTTAAATGTAGCAAATGTGTTAGAGAATTTTCATTGATCTTAACCTTCAAAACTGACTTTTGGAATTTTAGCAGATGCTTATTTTAAAGACTGATGAGTTTTTCTAAGCCTTGGATGTGACTGCTCCTTAGGCCAGTTGTCCAATAACCACCCCATGGTAGCCCCTCTTTTGATAAGGTCAGGCACTGGGTCTTATACCCTGTATTATCTTTACATCTAGTGAGCCAGAGGGTAGGAATTTTATGAAAGGTTTATCAAATGAATGCATGTTTTGAGAAACTATTTCCAGGAGCCTACAGCTTTCTAGTAGCCTTAATCCTTAGCAGTCTGATTTTTATCTACAGACTCATCTTAGCTGCCCTGAGTGCTTCCAGAAACTTATTCCAGAAGTGACTTCTGCTATGGTTCATTTGAAAACCTAGATGGGGCAGGGAGGACATAAATTCCTGGATTCTGGATATGTCTCAGACCATACAGAAGAATCCCCTTAGCCTCTTCCCACCTTAATGAAAGAAGCTGATGTACCTAGGAATCATCTAACCTTAGATGGTGCCCAGTGAAAACTGCAATATCATTATAAAATAACTCTGTGTCCACTGCAGAAACTGAACATCTGCTTCAGTTGGTCATGGAATTTTCTGTTACGGACCATTCTTGTATTTCCTAAAGAATGTATTAAGACATTGGTGTAGTGTCTAGAAAATAGATGCTAAATAGCATGGGTATTGTTAAGTATTTTTAATCAAATTATTTGATGCAATGGTTATAATTGAGTGTACTTTCTTACGGCTCTAGTACATACCGGTATGCATAAGGATGTTTTGGCAAGAAAACTTGTTTTCATTCTTTTTAGTTAGACTCTTTATCCAGGAAAGTAAAAATGATCACTCTCCATTCCTTACTCAGCATCTGTTATTTAAAGGGGACTCAATGTAGCGAATATGTCCCCTTTCTGTGCCTCAAATCCTCATCTACAAAATGGAGCTAATGCAATATTTACTTTATAGAGTTCTTGTGAAATTAATGTTTTAATATACATCACAGCCCTTACAACAGTGGCTGGCTCATAGTAAGTGCTCAAAAAATGTTAGCTGTCATACTTGTTGATGTTTTATTATATCATGAATGTATTATTTCAAAGGAAATCTCTATCCCATAAAAATGATTTTTATTTTCTTAAATCTGTTAAGGATTAAAAGAGAATAAAAACACTTCAAATGCTTTACTTCTGTCATTATATTAATTGTCCCTAATAAGACTGGTGTTCAGCGGCCGCCCATAGAAGAAGCCAGGAAGAAGGAATATTGTTTAGTTTTCCTAATAGTCATTTTGGTTTCTTAAAGCAGCGTATTTTGACTGTCTAAATTCTGTAATACAAACTTGGGAGGGGCTGATTCCAATATTATTCCAATTATATTTTCTGCATATCCTGTGGAAATCATCACAAAATATAGAATATTGGTGAAAATAATGCAAAATGCTGCTTAAATTGTTTTCCAGTCCTCTTTCTTACATCCAATATTTTTCTTCTGACAGAAGGAACTTCCTTCACCACCCTCCCTCCCCCACCCCCCGCCACACACACCATATCAGTTTCTAGGGAGGGGGCTTTTGGAGGGAATCTTTAAGTGTTTTGATCCACGAAAAGGACTTAATTGTTTGCCTTGTTTTATGGTATAGCTTTATCCTAATTTCCCCCCTTTCAGTGCACAAAATCATTTTGCTGTTCTTTGTAGTAGTCAGGGCCAGCCAGTTTATTTTAATAGTCCAAAGAAAGACAATATGTTTAGCTTACATTTGGCTGAGACAAATTTGGAAGAATGCAATTGGTTAAAGGGTACAGATAATCATATGGATATTGATGACATTAAAGAGGAAGATTTCTGACAGAGGAGGGAAATGTTGTGCCCAGTAATAGCTAGTGGTTACTTGTAAGAACATTAGGTTATTAACCACAGGGCAGGTGCTATCATTGTGTATCTAAATGAAGGAATTAGATAACTTAATGAAAGAACAATGACTGAGTCAGAGCCTCCCAAACTCCCTGGCAAAAGTCAATCTGTAACATCCTGAAAACATGCCTCTTGGATTGATTAAACCCATTTAAACTGAGCGGCTACCCTTTGTCTGGTAATTGATCTCTTACCCTAGGGACAGAGCATCACCTTGGAATATCTTTTTCCCTCCTTTATTCTCTCCCTCCCTCAGTCTCTAGAGGT